GGTACGGTTTTTTCAGCATAGGCCCTAGTCCGAAACTTTTGGCAGACGCTCCGGAAATTTGACACCATAGGAAATTGATTCGGTCATAACAAAGTTTTGGGAAAGGAAACTTGCTTTATCTTAAGTAAACGTTTTTGTGGCACTGCATTGAAGAGAGCAGCGTACATTTTGATTATCGTCGTTATCATATCCTGGTACGGTTTTTTCAGCATAGGCCCTAGTCCGAAACTTTTGGCAGACGCTCCGGAAATTTGACACCATAGGAAATTGATTCGGTCATAACAAAGTTTTGGGAAAGCAAACTTGCTTTATCGTTAAGTAAACGTTTTTGTGGCACTGCATTGAAGAGAGCAGCGTACATTTTGATTATCGTCGTTATCATATCCTGGTACGGTTTTTTCAGCATAGGCCCTAGTCCGAAACTTTTGGCAGACGCTCCGGAAATTTGACACCATAGGAAATTGATTCGGTCATAACAAAGTTTTGGGAAAGCAAACTTGCTTTATCGTTAAGTAAACGTTTTTGTGGCACTGCATTGAAGAGAGCAGCGTACATTTTTATTATTATGGTTGAACCAGTTTCCGTTCGGGCGTAGCAAACGCGGTTGTGGGGATAGTGAGAGACTTAAACATACAACAAGTCGGAAAAAGACAGGGGCAGATGATAATTCCAGAATTTACTTAGGCTTCGATATTTATGGTAGAAGGACAGCGATTAAAGAAAAATGGACTCACCATCCGATTGGATGGTTTTAGGGAAAGTCAAGTCAAGTCATGTCAGTGGTGCAGGACGGAGGGCCTGGCAGGGGACAACGTATAGTCGTTCGAGGTCCTGTGCACACATTGGCGTACACGTAACCGATCCATTTGCAGTTTGAATTTAATATAAGATTAGGTCGTAGTGTCGCTGTCCGGACACAATTTCCCCCAAAGCACAATGTATGGAGTATGTCCGTCTTCATTAGCCCAGTCGGAGCAGAAAAGTAGGACATTAGCACTGGCTTTTGACGCAACGTTTTGATGAACTAAATTAACATATAATATCCAGTAAAACCATTGTAGCACTGTTATATATGGAAACAGTACGTCCATCTTGCCAGGAGGGCTTGGTGGCCGAATGGTATAACGCGTGATTTCGATTCCCATTTCCTCCCACTGCAATATTGTAATGAAATTGTACCGGGCGTTGACGCTCTCCCTCTCTCTCTCTCTCTCTCTCTCTCTTTACCCCCCCCCCCCCCCAACTGAAATGATATAACTAATGTGCACATTGTCTAAACGATAACGTTTAAGTACTCGTTCCAGGAGACACGCCAAAATGGCTGTTGTGTACGTTTCTCGAACGATAATGGTTCATCAGTTTAACTTGACAACCTGATCTTACCAAGAGACCTCGGGGCATCACCCTGTTCTTTTCTAATTGGCAATTTGTTCACCGGATTGTGACGATATTCTATACATATTATTCTGTACAATATTATTTAATTTGAAACACTAATCACACTAGAACTAACCATTGATTTTCGACCGTTGTCATTGTAGATCTTGTAGGAAAGAATAAATAAATACACATTGTTTTTTTTATAACATTTCCGTTAATTACACTCTGATACATGCTGAGTTGGGAAAGTTATTAAAATATGAAACGAAGCGAATAGGTCTGTGTACAAATGTAGCAGTAGTGTAATTAAATCCATAATTAATAATTTATAAAAAAATTTGAAGCCTGAAAAAAGTATTTGTAAAGTTAGTTCTAATACCCTGCACCTTTCAAAGAAATCTGGTTTACTTATGAAACACAACTAATTAACCCCTTTCTTGATGCTAGTTTTTGCAATCTAATTCAAATACAGATCCTATTTCGTTTCGTTTTTTATAGTTCAAAATGTTGTTTTATTTGTACTACACTGGGATCTGGGAGAGTTGTTATATAACCTGCGTTCTGGATTGCGTGAGGGATTGGCCAATGAAACCATCTGTTACGGAGACTTCTTGGCGACTTTCACGCTGATTGATTAATCAATGTCTGGCGTCATAGGGTCAAAAGCGGCTCGTACCATCTGACGCGACCTTCCAGTACAACCAATCAGATCTTCATGTAGTAAAAAAGACGAAAAGAAATATAGATCTGCATTTTCTTGATTTGCGGCAACAAAAGTTATAAATAGACATAACGTCATCCGAGTACGCAATATGACGGTGATTATTTTAAAAAATGGCCCATTGTAGATAAATTATGTATAATTGCTATTATAGTTCAAAAATAGATAATGAAAAATGAATATAGTCAAAATTTTACTCATTGATTTTATTCTCAGCAATGTTATGAATGGTTGAAGTTTTGTCAAGGAATATTCTACATTGTACGGGCGATCGCCGATTGAGAGTTCATTATCTTCGGAGTCAGGTACCATAAACATAGATAGATATGTCTAATCCACTCACTATCGAAGCCATCCGATGACCTAGAGAGTTGATTGTGGACTGGGGGGGAGGCTTTACGTTCATTCAATATAAACTATGTCATTTCGGGACTAACACATGGTTCATTTCGAGTAAAGGGTGTTTAGCAGCAGGGGGGGACCGGAGAAAGCCAATGAGGATAAACATGCGACCATACACCTTGTCACATACACGCTGTGAATCCAAAGCACGCTACTAATTAAAGTGTTTTATAGTCACTTTTTGTAAATATTTTAGATAAATACTTTGAATATATCGTAATTTACATGTTACCTATTAATATTTGTTAAATGTGTATGTTAATAATATGAATAATTGAAAAATAATTTACCTGTAACCTTTGAATAATTCAAGATTAATTATTAGACATTTTCTCTAGATTCAGCCATGATGGACAGTCAACCTACCTGTACTAGTTTATTTTTCACTAGATTCACGAATAATGGAAAGTCAACCTAATTATTCTCCTGTAGATTATTATTTTTGATAATTACAAAATTTGCATGTGTTCATTCAGGGGTGCTCTACACTCTCTACAGTTTTTCGCGCGAAATAAAATTCGGTTGCGTTTGGGTTCGCCGTCAGTTTAAACGACTTATTGAAACAGCATGTCGCGCTCGTGGCCGCTGTCGCGTTCCCGCTCAGTATAAGCCCGACGTTCAATCGCCACCTCTTATTAAGTAGAAAAAATTGCAATTTTTTACACGAATTTGTAGCAACAATAGCGGTTGATTGAATTAATGGAAGAGAGAGAAATGGGGTTTAACGTCCACTCGACACAAACTAGGTCATTTCGGGACTAACATATGGTTCAGTTTTATTTCAATAATTCGCTACCACGTAGGGATCTTTAGCAGTGGGGGGGGGGGACCGGAGGATCCCAAGAAAACTCACGAGGTTGTACTGTTTTTTCACGTACAACCGGGAAATCGAAACCACGCCAGTTGACGCAATGACAGACCTTATGATACAAAGCGCACGCGCTAACCATCCGCAACCCCCCCCCCCCCACACACACACACACACACACTTACTTATTAAAAGAGAACCCATGTTGTACGCCAGAAAGTAAACATCCGCACCCTTCACGTGAGAGAAAAATATTTTCCACGCGCGGAAATGCCGAGATGGAAACGCCCCATTTATTTCACTTCTAACTGTGTCATCGGTAAGATTGAGATCTACCTGAAGATCAGATGATGATTACAGAAGGTCTTGTGAATTTATCAACCATAGAGCACTTGACAAACTAATTAATCATTAGACACACCTGTAAGAACATAATTTAATTAATAACACAAATAATCCGGAACGTAAATAATTTGATAGTTGCTATAACACTAGCGTCAACCCAAACACACCTGTAAGAACAAAACAAAACAGTTTAATTAGCTACCCAACTAATCCGGAACATAAATAATTTGGTAGTTTATTGAAACTTTTATACACTATCAGATGAAGATATCTTGTTTCGATTAATCATTGATTGTGCTTCGGGTTCGATTAGTTGGCCTTAACAATAAGATTGTACGTGGGAAGGTCGGTCATCCATCCAGTTTTCTTCTCACTGCTAAAGACTCTAACGTGCAAGCGAATTATTGAATCAAATCTCTCTCTCTCTCTCTCTCTCTCGTTAGTTACCCGACATCTGAATGATAGTAAATATGAACTACCAATCATTCTATGGACGATTTCAACTATACTCTAGATCTAGTTCAATAGGGGTTCACATCAGATCATTATTTTTTTCTTTTTTAATAAAAATTCACTCATCACTTCCATAATTATCTGTAAGTTATTCAAGTATAACTAACTCGTGATTTCGCATATACACCCCGACCTCATTCAAATTAATCTAAAGTGGTAGTAAATGTAGTAAAATATTTGGTTGTTTTTTGATCATGTCAAAATTCCTTATATATTTATACATTTTCTAAAAATCCTTTAATGCTAAACGAAACTACGACTACGTAATGTATCGTGTATACTAGGTTAAACAAAAGCTATATCGTGTATACCAGGTTATACCATGTCGTGTATATCGTGTATACTAGATTATACTATGTCGTGTATATTGTGTATACTGGGTTGAAATTCAACTATATCGTGTATACTAGGTTAAACTACACCTATATCGTGTATACTAGGATATACTATGTCGTGTATATCGTGTATACTAGGTTATACTATGTCGTATGTATCGTGTATACTAGGCTATACTATGTCGTGTATATCGTGTATACTAGGTTAAGCTACAACTATGTTGTGTATACGAGGCTACATCTGTATCGTGGATATAGGTTATACTTTATCGTGTATACTAGGTTAAACTGCAACTATATCGTGTATACTAGCTTACACTACAACTATATCGTGTATACTAGCTTAAACTACAACTATATACTAGCTTAAACTACAACTGTATATGGGTGAAAGTACAGCCACTTTTTAATGTTTATGATTCTGTGGCAGACCAATGCTCTCTTTAAATGGCTCAACCGTGTCGACGAATATATAAAAGCAATGTACGACACATCTTTATACCTAAGAAATTCCTGTATAAACACGTTTCTGAAACTCTTTCTTCACCAGTATGGCAAAACAAAATGGTCTTGGGTAAAGTTATTGTGTTTTTACTTTTATATTTTATGGTCTTGGGTAAAGTTTTTGTGTTGTTTTCTTTTTCTTTTATATTTTATGTATTTCAAAACAAGGGATAAATTTCATATCTCACGATGGTAGGTACTTGAGATTGGGGTTTCATAAGTAGCATTATGCTTTTAGGTTTACAATACATTTGTTGTTCTCGTTCTTGAGGCCGACGCTCTTCGTAAAAATGGGATGGAGGGGGGGGGGACGAATGGTTAACGAATGCACGTTGCAACATAAAGTTTCGATTTCCCGCTTGTACGCGGCAAGGAGAAGGAGTTTGTGTCGAGTGGACGTTACCGCCCCTTTCTCCCCCCCCCTCTCTCTCTGTCTCTCTCTGTCTCTCTCTGCCAATTCATATAAGCTTCGATCGACATGAAACTAAAAATGCGTGTTTGTTGGATTAAGAGAATTTGATTTTTCATATAATGTCACAATTCCAAGATGGCTGCGATGACGTCCTACGTGTCTTCTGGTCCACAGTACAGTAGTAATTGCTAAACTAATGAACACATATTTGGAAATAATAATGATAATTTATGACAATGATATTAATCTCTCGTTTTATTTATTTTTTTTTTTAAAAAGGAACATCTGTCGTATTCAATACGAGAAATATTTTAGCAAGCTTGCAAGAAGAACAAAAAGTTCAGTTTTGAGGGACGCGGCAGGTAAATCTAGCTATAACACATGATGGGTTTTTTTTAGAATAGAGAGCGTCTAGGAAAACCTAGCAGGAAGAGTATTTAAACACCATTGTTTTGAACGACGCTAATGGTAAAACTAGCATAGTTTTGAACGAAGCTACGGGAAATACCAGCACGAGGATTACCTCCACATTATTGTTTTATAAGGGGATCACGTGGCTAAGTGGGTAAGACTCTGGCTCGCTAGCCTGTGCTGGTGTTCGATCCCTGCATTGGCCGAGAAAGTTCATCCCGATTTTCCGGCGTGGTTTCCCCTCGTCAGTGATGCATGACGGAGGGCCTGACAAGGACAGCTGTCTAGTCGTTCGGATGGGACGAAAAAGCGAGGTCCTGTGTACACATTGGCGTGCACGTAAAAGATCCCTTGGCAGTTGGAATTCGATATAAGAGTAGGCCGTAGTGCCGCTGCCCGGGCAAAATTTCCCTCATAGCACACTGTATGGCGTATGCCCGTCTTCATTAGCCCAGGTTAGGATCAGAACAGTAGGACGTTAAACCCCATTTCATTTCATTTCTACAAAATCTAGCATCACATTTATTAACACATTATTGTTTTGAGCGACGCTGCGAGTAACCTTAGCATGGCAGTTATCTACCCAACTTTGTTTTGAGCAACACCATGGGTAACTCTAACATGACCGTTATCTATATCTACATTGCTGTGTTTAGTCTAGCATGGCAGTTATCTACCAAGCTGTGTTTAGGCTAGCATGGCAGTTATCTACCAAGCTGTGTTTATTCTAGCATGGCAGTTATCTACCAAGCTGTGTTTTGAGTCGCGCCGTGAGTAACTCTAACATGACAGTTATCTACGGTAAACACCGCGGTAAACCTAGCATATCATCAATTAAACATCATAGTTTTATGCATCGCTGCGGGTAATACAAATATAACACAAATGCAGTCCATTATTTTATTAAAAGTACTCAAATGTTTTGATTCGCTTTTACATATTATTGTTGTATAATATCAAATAATTGCATCGTATATATCATTTCCACATGAAATTGTATATATGTTCGGTTTTACAATTTAATATATTTAATTTTATTTTTATGTATATGTTATATATATCGTTTATTATTTTCTGTATCACTGGGAAAGAACTTATAGAGGCTTTGCCTGTTTTTCAATCCTTTTCAAATGAATAAAATATTGTTTAAACTAAACTAAACTAAACTAAATATAACTGGTATCTAGGATATTATTGTTTTGAGGGAAGCCACACGTAACACTAGCATGTCTACACATCTACACATAATTGTTTTGAAAGACACGCCTAGCATAATTGTTATCTACATCTCATTGTTGTAGAGAGCGTCTCTTGTTTTGAAAGACACCTCTAGCTTAACTGTTACCTACACCTCATTGTTTTAAACGGCGTCTCGGAAAACTAGCATGGCAGTTATCTGCGAACCCTGGACCTTCTAGTCAGGGGTCTAGGCAACTGGACCCAAAATAGAGAGTTCTTAAATATATAAAAATAAATAAAAATACGCCCAGGTAAAAAGTCAACCACTTTACTTCATTATGATATGCGGTGGGTTGGATGGCCGAATTGTTAGCGCGTGCGCGCTGTATCATAAGGCCTGTCCTTGAGTCAACTGGCGTGGTTTCGAACCCACAGTTGTACGTGGCAAGGAGTTGTACGGGTCCTTCGGTTTCTCTCACTGCTAAAGACTCCTACGCGGAAGCGAATTATTGAAAAAAATTAAACCATATGTTAGTTTGTGTCTAGTGGACGTTAAACCCTCCCTCTCTCTCCCTCTCTCTCTCTCTCTCTCTCTCTCTCTCTCTCTGTCTCTCTCTCTCTCTCATGAAATGCATCAAATCATAATGTAGTTGTCTGCCGTTTATCAGTCGTCACCAGGTGTTTTCAGTATATCTATATTAACCTTTATATCAATCCAGTTAACACACGAAATGAAATGAAATGGGGTTCAACGTACTACTGCTCTGCTCCGAACTGGGCTAATGAAGACGGTAACACACGAAACACTATTTATGGAATGACAATTAATGTTTTATTAACATGCAATGTTTCGACGATGATATCCTCGTTTTAATCAAGCAAATGATAACATATAGGTAAAACCTAAGGAAGCCATAACTATATACATAATAAAAAGCTCTTATCAAGAAGTTCAATTCAGTTAAGTTCTGTGAATTCATATTTATAGAAGCATCCGAACTGAAGAATAAGATAATTATGTCTGGTGGATACCCTAGTCCTGAAATCTTTCCAATAATATCTTCACAGCTAACTTTAAGGTAATATATATAATGATATCTTCGCTGCATACTCCTTACGCCCACTCCAACCTCCACCAGCACACAGTGCCTAGTCACCAGTGATTTTGTGTGCGTGGCAAATGGGTAATAGGGCCAGGCCACGATCCACCTGGGCGAGTCCAATCCCCTAGTCTACTTGGTTTATTTGTGTATAAACACAATGTTTTCCTTCTTCGCATGTCTGCTTGAGTCTTGTGGCATACAGGCAAGGAGTTGGCCCGTGCATCAGCTAACTTCTGCACGCCATTTTCTTGTAAAAAGTACTAAACTCTATACCTCAGTCTTGTAGGAAGGCAGGTAAGGGATTAGCATCAGGTATCAACTAACTTCAGCATGCCACGGTCTTGTAAAAAGTACTAAACTCTATACCCGAGTCTTGTTGGAATCGGATATCAACTAACTTCTGCATCCTATACCCGAGTCTTGTGGGCATACAGGCAAGGGGTTGACTCGTGCATCATGAAACGTCGGTGCGCCACTGTCTTGTAAAAAGTGCTAGACCCTATACATGAGTCTTGTGGGTATACAGGCAAGGGGTTGACCCATGTACAAGCTAACTTCTGCACGCCACTGTCTTGTTAAAGTTCAAAACCCTATACTCGAGTCTTGTGGGTATACAGGCAGGGGGTTGGCCCGAGAATCATCAAACCTCTGTGCCCCATTGTCCTGTGAAAATTGTAAAAATATAAGTTTACTATATCTTCAGAGATGGGACAGTTTTGAAAATAGATGAAGAGTCACAAAAAGACAGCCTACAGTATTGCAGTACTTGGGGGTAAAACATGTTTATATTGTCGTTATCATCATCTGTCGTACGTTCATAATTTCTTGTGAATACTCTACAGATCAGAGTTCTTAACCGATTTGTATCACATAAGTTTTAACATATGCCATCGGGGACTTTACGTAAGAGGTCCTATTGCTTGCTTTCACAAGATTGAAGCTTCAAAATGATAATGGAGGTGGGAGTGAGGGGTGGCAGGGTCCGACAGTTCCCATTCTATTCCACCACAGTAACCAACCATACACAGTTGTAAAATATGTCATCGGGGCCTTTAACGAGGGGGTCCTATCGCTTTTACAAGATTTAAAATTCAATAGGTAACGGAGGAGATTAGAAGGGAAAGTTAATGGGGTGGGAAAGATGAGAAGGGAAAGATAATGGGATGGGAGGGGATGAGAAGGGAAAGTTAATGGGGTGGGAGGGGATGAGAAGGGAAAGTTAATGGGGTGGGAGGGGATGAGAAGGGAAAGTTAATGGGGTGGGAGGGGATGAGAAGGGAAAGTTAATGGGGTGGGAGGGGATGAGACGGGAAAGTTAATGGGGTGGGAGAGATGAGAAGGGAAAGATAATGGGTTGGGAGGGGATGAGAAGGGAAAGTTAATGGGTTGGGAGGGGATGAGAAGGGAAAGTTAATGGGGTGGGAGGGGATGAGAAGGGAAAGATAATGGGGTGGGAGAGATGAGAAGGGAAAGTTAATGGGGTGGGAGGGGATGAGAAGGGAAAGTTAATGGGGTGGGAGGGGATGAGAAGGGAAAGTTAATGGGATGGGAGAGATGAGAAGGGAAAGATAATGGGGTGGGAGAGATGAGAAGGGAAAGTTAATGGGGTGGGAGGGGATGAGAAGGGAAAGATAATGGGGTGGGAGAGATGAGAAGGGAAAGATAATGGGGTGGAAGAGATGAGAAGGGCAAGTTAATGGGGTGGGAGGGGATGAGAAGGGAAAGTTAATGGGGTGGGAGGGGATGAGAAGAGAAAGATAATGGGGTGGGAGGGGATGAGAAGGGAAAGTTAATGGGGTGGGAGGGGATGAGAAGGGAAAGTTAATGGGGTGGGAGAGATGAGAAGGGAAAGATAATGGGGTGGGAGAGATGAGAAGGGAAAGATAATGGGGTGGGAGGGGATGAGAAGGGAAAGTTAATGGGGTGGGAGGGGATGAGAATAGAAAGTTAATGGGGTGGGAGGGGATGAGAAGAGAAAGATAATGGGGTGGGAGGGGATGAGAAGGGAAGGTTAATGATTCATTTCCGTTCATTTATTTACAAAGATATGACGAACTGAAATTTGGTCGACAATCCTACAGACGATATAAACAGGACATAACCAAAACCAATCAGTGCCTTCTATCATTCGTCCCGACTCTAATATATTACCGTGTTTCATTTAAGGATGGATGATTTACGACAATGGTTGAAGGACTTCCAGAAAAAGATTCATAATCCACCATCTGTTGGTGAAGACAAACACCCCGGAGAGATGGAGTTGATGATTACTGCTGGTAGTCAAGATGGTATCAGCACTGTGAGTGATCGCCGGAGGTTTCTGTGTTGCTTTTTTTGTGGGTTTTGTTTTTGGGTGGGGAGGGATGGGGGGGATGGGGCGGGGTATTTATGTATTTTGGGTGGTTTTGTTTTTGTGTGTGTGGTTTTGTATTGAGAGGGAGAGGGAGGGGGGTGTTAAAGCGGGACGGGTGGGGTGAATGAAAGTCGTAAGATTCCTTAGGAGTGTTACCGGGTACATTTTCCCGGTCAGTGGCGTTTTTGCCCACTCTTCATTCGTCGGATTCCTAATCTTAACGGTCCCTTAATATGCAGTTGAATGTATATCCAGGACCTTTGTTTTACATCCCTTCTCAACCAAGATATTCCTTGGCAGACCCTCCGTCCAACATCTTACAAGTAAATACGTTGTTTACTTTTTTGTCCAATACAGAATCTATTAACCATTTTTGCTGTTGTATTTCAGGGTTTTCAGATGTTAATCGATGAAGGGGACTCAGTGATAGTACAGAATCCCACCTACCCGTCTGTGTTTAGCATGGTAACCATCGACTAACTTTTCCTAATTTAAAAACCGATACACCGCTTCTACTAAAGGATCACATATGTTCTCATTGTCTGTGTTAGCGGTTATGAAATGGGGTTTAACGTTCACTCGAAACAAACTAGGTTATTTCGGGACTAACCTATAGTTTAACTTTATTTCAATAATTCGCTTTCGCGTAGGGGTCTTTGGCAATGGGAAGAAACTAGAGGACCAGGAGAAATCCATATGGTTGGGCAGACGACCTTACTCCTTGGCACGTACAACCGGTGAATCAAATCCATACCACGTGACTCAATGACAAACCTTATGACGCGTCACACACGCATTAAACCATTCGTTCACCCCTTCCTGTATTTCAACAATTCGCTTGCGCGTAAGGGCCATTAGCAGTAGAGGGAAACCGGGTGAACTGGAGAATGCCAATGATCCTGGGCAATCCAGTGAACTTCTTGTCACGTACAAACGGGGAATCAATCAACACCACTTGATTCAATGGCAGACCTTATGACCAAAAGCGCATGCATTAAACCATTCGTCTACACCCGTCTCCCGCCTCTTGTGCTTGTATATAAAGATACCACAGAAGAATTGGGTTTTTTGTTATACAGGTGGAACGGTTAGGAGGTTCTACTGTAGGGATAGACTCAGATAAACATGGAATAATCCCAAGTAAAATGCGGACTCTTCTAGAAAATTGGGAAATATCAAACCCAGTAAATAAAAATGCTCCAAGACCCAAGGTGCTGTATTGTATTCCTACTGGAGAAAACCCTAGAAGTGCATCATGGTCGTTTGAAAGAAGACAAGCTGTATATCAGATATGTCGAGAGTTTAATCTGCTGATAATGGAAGATGATCCATATTATTTTACATATTTTAACAGGGTATGTATAAACTTATATTTTACATATTTTAACAGGGTAAGCATAAACTTATATTTTCGTTTAAAACACGCACCGAATACTCAAAAGGGGTCCAGCGTCCTATTTGTTTGCACCGAGGGCTCATCTACGTGAACATCAACATATTAACTGGGTATGAAAACAGTAACATACATTTAGGAGATAAACACTTCCTGTTTCGCATTTGGAGGGGTGTTATTGTGCAATTGACGTGTCATAGGATCATTAGGACCCAAGACGCGTTAGCATCGCGGTCTCTAATGTAAAATCTCAGGACTATTTCAATAATTCGCTTGCGCGTAGGGGTCTTTTAGCAGTGGGAGGAAACCGGGGGGCCCCGAGAAAACCCACGAAGTTGGACAGGTGAGCCCACTCTTTGTCACGTACAACCGGGGAATCGAAACCACACCAGTTGACTCAATGACAGACTAATGATACAGCGCGCTAACCATTCGGCCATCCCCCATCCAACCCCCACATTAATTATAAAAGAATGCATCCAATATCTGAGGTTGTTAATCAATTTGAATTGACTATATAATGTAATACATTGTAAACAATCATCGTGTTTTACAGCCACTTCCTAGATCTATGTTATCAATTGATGAAGATGGCCGTGTTCTAAGATTTGATACTTTTTCTAAAGTACTAGGACCTGGGTAAGTTGATGATCACCACTGCTTTATATTTTATCAATACTGAAAGATATTCGGTTCCAAATATATTATATTATATAGACATCACGACGACGGGTCTAGTTAGGAATAGCGTCTAGTCGTTCGGATAGGACGAAAAACAGTCCAAAAGTGAAAGAACCCTTGACAGTTGGGATTCGAAATAAGAATAGAGCGTAGCAGCGCTTTCCGCACTTGTTAGCTTCAATGACCTAGGGTTAGGGTTTGGGTTAGGTCAACAATATTTTTAAAATATTTACAAGGTACTCTTATTCATAAATACATCATTTACAAGTTAATCTTTATTCATAAATGCTATATTTACAAGATAATCTTTATTCACAAATACAGTATTTAGAAGATCTTTATTCATAAATACAATATTTACTAGGCAATCTTTATTCATAAATACAGTATTTACAAGGCAATCTTTATTCATAAATACAGTATTTACAAGGTTATCTTTATTCATAAATACAGCATTTACTACATGGTGATCTTTATTCATAAATACAGTATTTACAAAGTAATCTTTATTCATAAATATGGCACTTACATGTTAATTTTTATTCATAAATACAATATTTACGAGGTAATTTTTATTCATAAATACAGCATTTACATCATGATCTTTATGCATAAATACAGCATTTACTACATGGTGATCTTTATTCATAAATACAGCATTTACAAGGTAATCTTTATCCATAAATACAGTATTATTTTTTTGTTAAACACTGTGGTTATTTATAACCCATTTCTGTTTCTTTAATAGGTTGCGTATAGGATATTTGACTGGTCCAAGACCTTTAGTTGGTAAATTGATGTTACTATATCAGACCTCTACATCTTTGGCTTGTCCGTTTTCCCAGGTATAATATATTATTTTATATCTTGTAGGTGACAATAACGGCTCCTGTACTGGAAATGTAATAATAATAATAATAATGAATTTATTTAAGAAGGGTTGAAGATTAGGCTATGATAGCATTTCTAACATCCTGCCCTTCGTAGAAAATATATTACAAAAGATATAGCTAATAAATTAAACAACACATCACAATGATTTACAACAGAGGAAAAATATAAAGATACAAATCAGTTAAAATTATAATAATAATAATAATATTAATGACTTTAATTCAGAAGGGTTGAAGATTAGGCTATAATAGCCTTACTAACATCCTGCCCTTCGTTGAAAATATAATACAAAAATATATAGACTGAAGAATTAAATAACACGCCACAATAATTTACAATGGAGATGGGAAAAATATACAAAATCTTAAAAAAAAGATTAAATACAGTATATATGTGAGTTCATAAAACAGAAAGCTTGAATACATAGATATAACATGCATTAACAAATATACAATATGTACATGCTTATATTATAGTGACACACATAATACATATACAAAATATGTTGGGGGGGTGGGGGTAGGATAAGCGACAATGATAAAACCTTTACTGGAAATGTTCTTGTGAGCGACAATAATAATAACATCTTTATAATCCTTTAGTGGCATTTAGCAATTGGAAACATAACAAAACTATACAGTTATATGGGACAACAATCACTGGTTTATTATACACAAGCACGACGTTTCGATAAGTATTGTCTTATCGTTATCAAGCACAATGCTTGATAACGATAAGACAATACTTATCGAAACGTCGTGCTTGTGTATAATAAACCAGTGATTGTTGTCCCATATAACTGTATAGTTTTGTTTTTAATAACATCTTTCTTGAAATGTTCTTCTTGTGAGCGAGAATAATAACACCTTTACGGGAAATAGTCTTCTTGTGAGCGACAATAATAACATCTTTACTGGAAATGTTGTATTTTTAGTAGAATGTTGTTCTTGTAGGTGACAATAATGGCTCTTGTACTGGACATGTTCGTCTTGTAAGCGACAATAATAATGACACCTTTACTGGAAATGTTGTACTTCTAGTAGAAATGTTGTTCGTGTAGGTGGTAAAAATGGAACTTTTACTAGAAATGTTGTTCGTGTAGGTGGTAAAAATGACACTTTTACTAGAAATGTTGTTCTTGTAGGCGATAATAATGGCACTTTTACTAGAAAAATGATCTTCTTGTGGCCGACAATTATGTTACAATTACTAGAAATGGGCTTCTTGTAGGTGACAATAATGGCACTTGTAGTAGAAGTGCCTTTCTTGTAGAGTATAATGATGACACAATTACCAGAAATGTTGTTCTTGTAGGTAACAATAATGGTACTTGTAGAGTATAATTATGACATTTTAGGAGAAATGGTCTCTTTTCTAAGCGATGATAATGACACTTTTACTAGGTACGTTCTTGTGGGCAACATTATTGACACTTTTACTAGAAATATTATTCTTGTATTAGAAATGTTGTTCTTGTAGGTGATAATAATGACACTTTTACGAGAATGGGGTGTCGAAGGTTTCATTCAGCAATGCGACAGAACAGCACAATTCTTGAAAGAACAGGCCGATTATTTGTTACTGACAGCCAATACGTATCTATCAGGTAGGTCACCATTGTCGCAAACTGGTGTTGAAAAACATCATGGTCATAACCACATCATAGCTACTGGTAGGCTCATGTTTTATTGCCTGGCAATATCCGTTTGGTTTCAACGGTCGGTTATAAAACATACAAACGATTTCATCCCGATTCTGGTTATACCCACAAGGACAGCTCGCTTAGGTTAGCTGTAAAATGAGACGAATGTTACGGGGCAGACTAGGCGTGAGGGCGCCTAATGGTCTAGCTGGCCGACCGTCGCTGGCAGTCGTAGTTTTGATCCCTGGCACGACTGTATGTGAAGTGAAATAAAAGAAATGAGATGAAATGGGGTTTAACTGTTCTGCTCCGACCGGGCTAATGAAGACGGGCATACGCCATATAATGTGCTATTTGATGAAATCTTGCCAGGACAGCGGTGCTAAGGCCAACTCTTATATCGAATTCTAACTGGCAAGGGATCTTTTACCCTAATGTGGGACCTCGGTTTTTCGTCCCATCCGAACGTCAAGACAACTGGCCTTGCCAGTCTCTCCGTCATGCACCAGTCATGCACCAGTAACCAGTTGAAACCACGCCGGAAAATCCCGATGAACTTCCCTTGGCCAATACCGGGATAGAAACCGCGACCTTCAGCAAGCCAGCGTCTTACTCACTTATAGGAAATGGAGATAGGGGTACATTTCCAACCTCGAGAATTACTCCGGGTACTCCGCTTTCTCGCAGAGAGAGAGAGAGAGAGAGAGAGAGAGAGAGCTGGGGTTTAACGTCCACTCGACACAAAGTAGGTCATTTAGGGACTAACATACATGATTTAGTTTTATTTCAATAATTCTCCGGCGCGAGGGCCTTAGCAGTGGGATGAACCGGAGTACCCGGAGAAAACCCACGAGATTGGACAGGCGACCCAACTCCTTGTCACGTACAACCGGGGAATAGAAACCACATCAGTTGACTCAATGGCAAAACTTATGATGCAGCGCGCACCCGCTAACCATTCGGCCATCCAACCCCACTTCCTCAGACAGGAAATACCCTCCTTGCGGACGTGCTGAATATATCGAAACAAACGTTGTCTGCTATATCAGCCACAGTGGAAGTGGGCGTTACCTCCCCCATTAATAACAACAAAGACGGGACTGGACAAGCTTACGCCTTCTTGGACATCTGATGCCACATATCATCCGTTTTGTAGTTCAAACAAATTTATCCAAAATAAAACAGGCGTATGCGTTTAATATTATTATTATTATTTATTCATACAAATAACAATTTATCACATCCCACAGATGTAGCTGAATGGGAAGCGCCAAATGCTGGTATGTTTTTATGGATGAAAATGAAAGGTTTCGAAGATACACGAGGATTGGTTAAAAGATGCAAGGAAGAAGGCTTGCTTCTGATTGAAGGAGTTTATGCTATACCAGGAGGAACTATGTCACCATATATAAGAATAGCATTCGCCATAGCATCAAAACAACAAATGATCGAGGTAAGATGTTAAAAATTTCATAGATCTTTCAAATAAAAAAAAAACAATTAAATAAATTTATTTATTTCAGTCTGGTTAATAAGCAGACAATCCATCTGTTCGAGAGTATTGTCCATTGGTCGCTTGTCCAGCCTCGTGGGTTTTCCCCGGGTTCCTAGGTTTCCTCTGCTGCTAAAGCAAGTTGTTGAAATAAAATTGATCCATATGTTCCGAAAATACCTAGTATGTGGACGTTAATCTCTCTCTCTCTCTCTCTTCTCTCTCTCTCTCTCTCTCTCGCTATCAGGTAGGGTTTGGTTTGGATCATGATATGGCATGCTCATGCATCTTAATTTCCACTTAACATATCCTGAGGTCAATAACAAGTTCTGACAGACCTCTCTGATAAGGCAAGGTTAAAAGTAGATTCGCCGGTTGAGTCTTACAGGAATCGCCTCCCTCCCAAGCCAGACCTAGTTGTTGCACCGAAAGCCCTTGTTGATATCTGTCCAGATTTTGTTCCAAATTTTGACTCCATTACTCAAAATGTATTATTATTTACCCTGAACACCAGCTATGTTATCTTTTGTTTCAGGCATGCAAGATTTTAGCGAAAGTGTCAAAAGAACTAAGAGGAATTCCTGAAAACTAATCCTAATTTTCACTAATTCAACACCTCAGACAGTGATTGGGGGGGGGGGGGGGGCGGGGGCGAGATGGGGGTGTTTTATTATCAACACAAGAGACGGGGGGAGGGGGCGAGATGGGGTGTTTTATTATCAACACAAGAGACGGGGGGAGGGGGCGAGATGGGGGTGTTTTGTTGTCAAGATAAGAGACGGGGGGAGGGGGGGCGAGATGGGGGTGTTTTGTTATCAACACAAGAGACGGGGGGAGGGGGCGAGATGGGGGTATTTTGCTATCAACATAAGAGACGGGGTGGGAGATGGGGATACTTTGCTATCAACACAAGAAACAAGGGTTGGGAGATGGGGGTGTTTTGTTATCAAGATAATAGACGGGGGTAGAAGTTGTTGGGGGGGGGGGTTGTTATCAAGATAAGAGATGGGGGTGGGAGATGGGGGGATACTTTGCTATCAACAAGAGGTCGGGATGGGGTATTTTGTTATCAACGGGAGTGGGGGGGGGCATTATTGTACAATTTAATATAAATAATAAACGTTAACGGATGTGTCTTTTCGTAAATCAGTATCAAATGTCTATATTTTATGCTATATCCACTTCCTATATTACATGAATATAACGGTTTTTCATCCCATCCAAAAGATTATATAGCTGTCCTTGTTAGGTCATCCATCATGCACCACTGACACGGGATATCACGCCGGAAAATACAGAGGAACCAACAAAGGGAGAGAACCCGAGACCTCCAGGCTAGCGAGCCAGTGTCTTACTCAATAAGTCAACGAAATGAAATGAAATGAAATGGGGTTTAACGTCCTACTGTTCCGCTCCGAACTGGGCTAATGAAGACGGGCATATGCCATACAGTGTGCTATGAGGGAAATCTTGCCCGGACAGCGGCACTACGGCCTACTCTTATATCGAATTTCAACTGTCAAGGGATCTTTCACGTGCACGCCAATGTGTACATGGGACCTCGGTTTTTCGTCACATCCGAACGACTAGACAGCTGTCCTTGTCAGGCCCCCAGTCCTGCATCACTGACAAGGGGAAACCACACCGGAAAATCTGGATGAACTTTCTTGGCCAATGCAGGGATCGAAATATTGGTTTGAGGGCTATTATATTTGTAACCGTGAAATCACAGCACCAGGTTTACGTCAGTGTTTTTTTGGGGTTTTTTTTACGTTATCATTTCCAATAGTGGTATAACGATCTGAAAAGTTTAACAATACGTAATTAATGTACGTAATTGTATAACCCGTGTACACCTTGCGTGCATATAAAAGAATCCCTGACATTTGGAATTCGAAATAATCGCAGGCCGTAGCGCCCGGTTACAAATTGGTATGCCCGTCTTTATTAACTCAGTTGCAATTGATATAAGAGTAGGCTGTAGTGCCACTGTCCTTGCAAAATTTCCCACACTGCACACTGTATAGCATATTACCGTCTTCATTTGTTAGTCTGGATGCGTTGGTCAACATTTGAGAATAATAGGTCATTGGCTAGATTATCCGGTCTTTTACATTATCAAAAACAAAGGCTAAGGGAAGTAACTTGTCCTAAAACAGGATGTTGACGCCCATGGAATTAATTTAAGAGTGCCATTTCACAAAATTCATTTGATTGCATTGCCAGTTCAATACCCAGCCCTATTAAAAGAAATTATTGTAAAATTTCCCTCTTTATGGGCCATATCTATGCTTATTTGAATTAATCCTAATTGTTTATATTGATGGGCGATTTATGGGAAGTGGCAATGGACTTTTCGTCCAATATTGACAACTGTCCCAGATCCCACGTACTGGGTAAAGGAGACGACGACACAAGATCATAGCATCAGACACATACTTTTTATACACGAGTGTAATATAATAAACAGTGCAAAAGGGTAAATGGGTATATATCATACACAACACGGTAATGTAATACACGGGTCAATGTATTCTTGCACACCCGTGTAATGTGATAAACATGTACACCCATGTAATGTAATAAATGTGTACACACCGGTGTAATATAATAAACATGTACACACCAGCGTAATGTAATAAACTTGTATACACCAGTGTAATGTAATAAGCGTGTACACACCAGTGTAATGTAATAAACGTGTACACACCGTTGTAATATAATAAACGTGACCACACCAGTGTAATATAATAAATGTGACCACACCAGTGTAATATAATAAACGTGTACACACCAGTGTAATATAATAAACGTGTAAATACCGGTGTAATATAACAAACGTGTCTGTGCATTTTTACAAACAAGTTTAATGTAATAAACGGGTCAGCGCATTCTTACACACTAATATACATAGGGTGCCCCACCATAAATAAAGATCTCCAAATATCTTGACACTTACACCACAACATGTATATATACACCAAGCCGTAAATCAGTTTCAAACATTTATAGTCACGAAATAAAAGGTCATGTTGTACTTAATAAGCTATGACCATTTAATTAACCATCTATAAATAATACACTGAAAGATGGTTACGAGTGTCAGTCATAACATCCGGGCATTTGTGAGTAAAAAATAGGTTACGTGCCCTTATTTTGAAATTATCTCGCTTAACCAGTCCACCGACCAATCAAGAAAACTTTTTTAAGAAACATAACAGAAAGCTGGAACAAGAAATTTAATTTAGAAACACGCACGTTAGGCAACTCAACAATCGTTTTAGGAACCTTGTAAAAGTAAAATGAAACTACTGCTAGTATCTTGGTTTTCCTAACCCGAGTGTTTCAGAGATATTATTTGTACTAAACCAAACGATGTGACTGTAATACTATAGGGGTTATTTTAGTTCTAAGAAAGGAGTTGTGTTTAATATAGAAATTCGTTACCTACATGATGTGTGACGAAAATTACGGTTATGAAGTACAGTGCATTATTCTTCTACTTTCTTAGATTAACTCACCGACAGTTATGCCAGTATCCATTTCTGGAAGGGGTTTACTATCTTCCAGGTATTTCGTGCACGGATTAGTACAATTAATTAGAATAAGGTTGACGTAAAACGGTGCCCATACGAAACACTTACTCCAAACTGGTAATTGTCCCGCCCTAATAGCTGATACATCCATACTTTGTATATAAGAAAGAGCGAAGTTAAATTCCCCTTCAGACATCATAGAGCGGTCCGAGAGGTGAACACCATAGCCTCCTCGGCTTAGAGGCTAGGGTGAAGACATCATGATGAGACCATAGAGAAGACATAATCTGTGAGTTCCTAGGGGAACGTCATACCCACGGCCGCCTCGTCTGAGAGGCTGGGATAGAGACAATATGTAGTGTTTAAGCCGTTAGGATATTAAACTCAGACCGGGGATATTTTAATAACTCCTAAAGTACTATCATAGATATTGTAGTTTCCTGTATTTAACCTTTGTATAGTTTGCTGCATTTGCTGTATTCGATATATAAACAAACGAGAGAAAGAGAGAGAGAGAGAGAGAAATGGGGTTTAACGTTCACTCGACACAGACTAGGTCATTTCGGGACCAATACATGGTTTAATTTTATTTCAATAATTCGCTTGCTCGTAGGGGTCTTTAGTAGTGGGAGGAAACCGGGGGACCCGGAGAAAACCCACGAGGCTGGACAGGCAACCCTACTCCTTGTCACGTACAACCGGGGAGTCGAAACCACGCCAGTTAACTCGGTGACAGGTCTCGTGATACAGCGGGCGCGTGCTAACCATTCGGCCATCCAACCCCCCGATATATAAACAAAGTAACAACATAAACAGTGTTTCAGACTCGATTAAAGATACATTATGGGAGATTCGATAACGAGTTGGCAGTTCTCACTATAATAATTAAAAACTAGATAACGTGAAGGCAATTTGCTGAAAATTTCATTCAAATTGATCCACTATGAACTGAGCACTAAGCGAATAAAATTTCTGCCTAGCCTCGGTCATCATTACTTAAGTCAGTACGTTAAACAGCATAGTCTCGATTATCCATTTAATCGTTTAATCGAGAAAGAAAGTTATGCAGTAAATCGGATCACAATCCACTTAAGATCGCAGGCTAGCGATGCCATCTAGAGTTGATTATGATCTGGATAAGTTAATTAATGTCTAATTAATAATTTAGATAACATTTCAGGCCTAAAGAAAGACCTGCAATAGACAGATTTAGCTCTTGCATAATGTATGTTTAATCATTAGAAATAGTTATCACAACGTGAAGTCAAAGAAAATCCTAGGCGATAGTGTCGCGGCCTATCTCTTATTTGGAATCCGTGAACAGGACAGTCACATATGTCCCCATAGTGTCCAGAGGAGTAGCCGTGAAATATATATTGGGGGGGGGGGTCCGCAACCCTAACCCTAACCCTATTTTAAAACCCCTAAAAAATATAAACAAACACCATGTGGCCATGCTGTCTACACAACTCGTTTGCTGATTGGCCCACCGCGTGCAAAGTATTATGGTTACGTGGCTGGCTGAGCGGGCGATAAATATTTGGTTTAGGCGATAATGTTTTTGGGTACCTACATGCGATTCACCCTGATAAGTGGCAGAAAAAAATTAACTAGACACAATTTTATGGAACCCAGTTAGTTTTTACTTCACACATGTTTCAAGGATGATTCTCTCTGTGTTTTATTTTAGCAATGTAAACCATATTGGGATAATATTCTCCCAATACATATTGGGATATGTACAGGTTTTATACAGATAGAATCTTAACTAACCCTAATAATTGTTGTAAATAAATAGGAGTTAGGGTCTACTATGTAAATATTTGGGGGGGTCCAAGTATATTCAGCCCCCCCCCCCCAGAAAAAAAATTGGAGGGGGGGGGGGTCGGACCCCCCCATGTGTGACGCTCCTAACGGTATAATTAATGATAAAGCAATTTAAAGTGCACATTAGATGGACCTGAAAACTTTTCTATACGTGTAGCCAATGGTTACTATATCCACTTTAAGGCAAGTTCACACCAATCTGATTGAAATTAATTCAGCTATCTTCACTCAAAGCCGTAAAAATAGACCTCCCGTAAAAACGACTTTGCCAATTATCGAAAACACTCCTAATCCCCTCAGACGCCAGTGACTTCACAGTGACCGAATGCAAAATGTATCATAAAAGTCAAACACGATTGAAACGCGATTTGTACATGACGATCCGTTACCATCGTACGTCGCCTTTCTTTCTGCATGCGGATTTGAATTCATGCGTATTGATAATAATATGGTAAATGTAGTGTCGTTAATACCTGTCATTAATTAATCAATCCGACTATAAAAGTTATACAGACATGGGATCATAAATTAATTTACATCTCTGTTATATCAGTGAGTATTAGTGGGATTAAGAATGCCGATTAGGTAATTATCTTTTCTTTACGCCGGCCAGATCAAAGACATCACCCTAGGTGGAACGTGTGCGTAATACCCCACGAATGAACTAATGGTAGAATCGTACACACACACATTAATTGTATAAAATAATTAAGTTTGACTCATCAGTTGTTTATAATTATTATAATGCTATATTGTACACAATGATATATTATATAGATAATGTACATACTATGTGTAGTGTCTGTGACGTCAACGGCCAATCAACCGGATTAAGGTCGTAATTGAAAACTTGAAAAGCGTTTTGTCGTGTCGGATACTTAAACGTTAACAGCCGACTTAATTTTAATCAGATTGGTGTGAACTTGCCGTAAAGTGGATATAGTTAAGAAACCATTGGCTATACATACATTAAATTTAGATTTTTTTATCTTACGTGGTCTTTAAGCATTTCGACCTTATATCTAACGTATGCTGTTATCAAGTTAACTGTGCCTGGAATAAACATTATATATTATTAGCGGTGACCGGTGCATGTTCTAGCATAATATCGTTATAAAAGGTGATATACTTTTATTACATCCACGTGCAGTTGGTGAATATACAGCGATAACACGAGGACTATAACAGTAGTGTGGTTGAGGAAGTTATTGGAATACAGGCATTGGTTAACAATTTGAATTTGACAATAACAATAGCAATGGCGCAAGGTGTACATAACGGAATAGGGTAAAGTATAGTTATATTTTAACTATTGTGAGAAATCTATTAGCATTACGTTTTCATATTCTCCCGACTATGCTACAATGGATATAATCGTTGTTTTTGTCTAACAACTGTTTGTCATTTGAAATTTGTATTAGTTTCTGTTGATTTTTATCCATTTTAAAGGAGCTAAATCTGTATATATATTTGTGACTGTCGTTTGTCTGTCTGTCTGTCTGTCTGTTCGGGGTTGGCGGCTACACTAGGTCTGCTCCGAGTCTGAAATTTGGGGTATAGGGGTAGTTAGGACCGGGAAGTAACATAGGCCAGGTGGCGTTAGTCTACCACTTCCGGTTTCGGAGTTATGACCCCCGAGCGAAGCCGGTCTGTTCGGGGTTCGCGGCTACACTAGGTCTGCCCCGAGTCTGAAATTTGGGGTATAGGGGTAGCTCGGACCGGGGAGTAACATAGGCCGGGTGGCGTTAGTCTACCACTTCCGGTTTCGGAGTTATGACCCCGAGCGAAGCCGGGTATCCTGCTAGTTGCTAATATTTGGGACCTAGAAATTGGCACAAATGGTTCGCAACGCATACAATAATGTAATATGAATATATATAAACTGATTTACATTCAGTCGTTTCCGTTTTTACTCTAATTTCAAATCGGTTATATTCGGCGAAATACGCCAGATGTCTCAATCGAATGGCAATTTCTAGCGTCTGGTTATTCCAGTCTACGCCAATATTATTTATTGGGCTTGCTCTGCAGATAAGAATATAGTGTCACCGTTTGACATGACTTGTGGAATATTTCTAGACTCGTTTTTCGCGTCCCTTGTTACAAATGGCACTGAAACGCCAAGAAAGTTCTGTCCTCGGACTGATCAGGTCCGGCTTATATAATATTAGAAAAACCTTAGAATTTTTCTGGTTTATTCTCAAATTTTTCACAACTTTCCAGAACCTTCCAACTTGTTTTTTTTAGAACCCTCCAGAACCTTCCAGTAATTTCTAAACACTGTTTCCAGACGTTTCCGTGTTTTCTAGAAGTTTCTGAGGTTACAAACGTTCCTAAAGGATGATTCTAGAACGTTTGATTGCACAAAATGCTTATAAACAATAGATTTTGATGATCGATCATAAACTCACCACAGACAGACTGGATGATTTAAAGACCATTTGGCCGCACAGTCTCCTTGATCAATATACCTGTTTAGAAAGATTTGTAATACTTTGGTCCTTAAGACCATATTGTATCTTTAACTTATTATTGGTTTACACTTTCTATAGATAGTCCATGTGACAGACCTGGGATTTTGAAGCATCATTACCAATTTGATGACTAAATTCAACCATGATTTTCAGTTAGCCTGGTGCCTAAATTGTTGAAATTTGGTTGATGAACTTTTTGGCTTTTTTTTCAAGTTTTCATGATTTATTTTTTAAGTGTACTTCTAAATCATGTTCAGAGCAAGTTTAGCCAAATTATGTGTGTGGTCTTCTTAAGTTATTTATTTAGCATAAATAAACACGGCCAGTGGTCCTCCATGTACAGCTGCGGTGGCCACAAACTCAACAAAAGTCTTAAGTAGACGTGTCAAATTTAAAATGTTGAACGTCGGCGAGGCAGGGCACCAACTTTGGCTAGTGTGCCACAGTCGAAACGATATTTGGGGACGGGTTGTTTCTGTGTCACAATTTGCCACTGAAGACAATTTTGATATTATGTCACTTCTGTGACGTCTTTTTCGGTTGGGGTTCTGTCCGATTTCCAAAATGGCCGCCACAAGTTAACGAAAAACGAATTAATAGTTAGGGTGGGTGAGTATGGGTGAGTATCACGCAGCCACTGAATTTAAAATTGATCTCTAAAAATGGATTATTTATTGGAATTTTCGATGAAACGGAAAGGTTTGTTCCGCACAGGAACTAGCTAAGGGTCAAATACAATTTGTAGAACCAGATATTTGATGTTAGTGAACCCATTTTTTCCAGGACACCTGTTTCACACAAAATCTTATTTTCTATCCAGACGGACCTTCAGTATAATAATCTACCTGCATACAAAGTTTATGAAAATACACATTCAAACAAAATTTAATATGGTCTATCACCTGTAGGACACTCCCTGCAACTTAAAAAATAAATTGTTTATTGGAATTATCGATTAAACGTAAACTTACTTGTAGCTGTAAAATACTCGACAAATATACCAGTTGTTAATTTGTAACATGTTTCACATCATATCCTTCTACGCGAATTAACAATAAATAGTTCATTCGATAAAACGGAAACATTTTGTATACTTGTAAAATAAATACCAATTGTTTATATGATAAATTGAAGTCTACCATGTAATTCGGAAATTTGCAACACGTTTAAGCACCATATCTTTCTACATGACCTTGCAATAAATTGTTCATTTATATAACGAATTATCATTTTAAAGGGACTATCCCGATTTGAACAGAGTTTAAAAAATAAAAGTCGAGTACGTATAAAATTGAAGCGCCAAAATATAGAGGAATGGTGTATTTACCTTGTGCTCAATATATTGAGTTGTTTGGACGTGAACGTCAAAATTCCTTATCCGGACACGTAACCCTTTTAAGATTTGGGGTCAATTTTTTCATTGGGTGACCTGATAATCAACCCCCGTTCCTTTAGAGGTCTCTACAATGAATGACCCATGTGCTGTACTTGATAATGAAATGTAAATTTTACCTACACATTATTTTTATAAAATAAAAGTCTGGTTTTATCCAGACACCGCATAATACAGCTTGGGACACCGGTCTCCATTTCAAGATAAAGACTGACGGGTTTAAGTTGTTTGAAAACGTATCACATAATGTTGAGTTAGTTGCTCGACCCTAACGTAGAGAATTTTAAAGGATTTTAGCACAAAATTAAGCAGTTTAATTCTCCAAAATATTATCGGGATTGGCCCTTTAAATGGCGTATTTTTACTGATATTTAATGTATTCAAGTGATGCGGGAAATTGAAACCCGTTTTAACATCATACCTTTCGCTTCCCTAGCCTGGTTGGAGAGAACCCCGTCGTTCACCTCACGGAGCAAAGATAAGCCTGTCCTATCCTAGGTATCATATGTGTAATTTTATGTCAACTTCACAATTGTCAGTATAAATATAACATTTACTTGACAATTATCACAATTTTCATCTGGCTTTAAAACATTGTGCTTGGATTTGTGTTCCTGGTGTTATAAGCTTTCCAAAAATATATAGTTTGTTTAATAGGGAGGACCTTGTAGCGGAACTATGTGTCTAAGCAAGCTAAATAATCTTGGCCGCAGGCCTACTAGACAATACAACAAGACTTGCCGGACATAGAGTCGTTAATGTAAAAACGGACCACATTACCATTTCTAAACGAATAAAAGAACTGAAATTCTTAACAACTGGATATATCATAAATAGTAACTGAATAGAGCAATAAACTATTAAATTACAGCCAGTGTATATTTTGCCGTCCGACGGTTCTTTACTTTCATTACTATTTAGCCGTCACTTCAGTTTGACATGCGCAGTTGTCTGATTTCTTGACCACCAGTCTGTTCTATTCGTCCTTTGTCTGACAATGCTTCTTTCTCCGTTTCTTATATGGAAGCAAATAGCCATACTTAATTTCTGATGGTAGAAACTGGAGAATTATTTTTAAAAGAAAATAAGATAATAAATGCAAATTGTAGAAAAGCATTTAGAATATTATTCTATTTTGGTCGAGAGCGCATTTCTGCGGATTTTGGTTTTTAATTTAAGTAATTAGACTGTCAGTGGTTTATGTTTTCCCCGTAAAATCGTGCTTCTGCTCCGAACTTGAAAGACGAGTTGTTTTTAATATTCCAAAATGGTGGAATATATCAGGAACCGACAACTGCGCATGTCGAACGGAAGTGGCGGCTAAATAGTAAATAAAGTAAGGAACCGTCGGGCGGCAAAATATACACTTCGTAAACTATAACACATACTTATTCAAGAACAATTACTGATTTATTTAGGCGACGTTTCGCAGAGTATTCTCTCAACTTTTTCAAACAGTAACAAATGTGTAGGGTAATTATATATAGACAAGCAATGACATCTATTAAATCACTTTAGGTGACCAAATAGATAAATTCGGCTTATATGGGTCTGAACACGATTTGTTAGTAAATTTATGAACAGACATGAAAAAAACCCACCGAAAATGTTGCTTTTTTAAGATTAATCTTTTATTTTAAAACTGATAGTATTGAGTAAACAACATATATCATATACCAGCAGATACAGAAATATTTATGAACATTTTGAGCTATATTACATATAGTTATATTACATATCCATAGGTGAAACTGTTCAGGAGTCATGAAGGCTTCCCCGACTCGCACTATTTCAAATAAAGCAAACGGCGGCCATTTTTAAAGATGACCGCCAAACTGACATTTGGCAAAGTGACCCGGAAGTCCATCAACCAATTTTGGAGACTTTAGACGCAAGGCTAACTGAAAACCATAGTTAAACCAATTCATCAAATTGGTAATGAATATCTGTCTGTCACGTGGACTAAGAATCAAATCTCACGTACTAATGAAAGTAAATGACATGTTTATACATAAAACAAAACAGTGATATTTTTGCAAAAATCCTTACCATTGTCAAAATATTCATTAAATTCTAGCTGTTTATTACATGTGTCTGGTAGACCAAATAAGATAATGTTCTCCCCCCACCCCCCTGGTCTTGGGAGAATTGGGTTGTTTATTCCATATTTAGAAAGGAAATTAACCCCATGTTCAGTCTATAACGTGCAGAAATAAGGGGGTTATAAAAGAGGGTGTTGAGCGAAATTGATCAGAGCTCACCCAGATATTCCGAGAAGCTATCATCTATGCTTTATTGAGAACGATCAGGGACTCTCGGGACCAACTAGTTTAACAATAAAGTTCTAGAAACCAACTAATCTGTAGTTTTATTACGATCACGAAGGTTGTAAGTGACAAGGAGTAGGGTCGCCTGTCCAACCTCGCGGGTTTTCCCCGGGTCCTCCGGTTTTCCTCACACCCCTACGCGCTAGCAAATTATTGAAATAAAATTAAACCATATGTTAGTCCTGAAATGACCTAGTTTGTGTCGAGTGGACGTAAAACCCTCTCTCTCTCTCCCTCTCTCTCTCTCTCTCTCTCTATCTCTCTCTTTACTATCACGAAGGAAACAAGAAAGTCCGATATTACTACAGATTGCTAGATATATGACTTGTAAACTTTACTTTGTTAATTCTTTAGAATTTGTTTTTAAAGTACTTAAATGTAAACTAAATGTTGTTTGATTTTATTTTAGGGATGTCAAGTTTCCAGAATATCAACAATTTGTCAGTAGAATAGGGGCCAGGTCAAAAAATTCAGCAATTAGAGACACTTTCGGTAAAACTTAAACGAGTTTTTGTTATTGTTAACCTTATGCCTCTCCATTACTTGAAATTATCGGACATTTTCGCCAAGAAACTTAACTTATAATCTATGAAGTGTAATCGCGTTTGTTCTGTCCCGTTGAGTGCAACCATAGATACTATCTATGGTGCAACCGATAGAAGAGCAGACCTGCATATCGTCAAAAGAACTATAATGGCGCTGTTTTGGATTAACCAATATGGCGTCGATGACTTCCATAAATATGACGTCATGATTGAAAGCTTCTTGAAATAGGGCCAATAAAATGTAGCCAGTTCGAATATAGAATGGCACATGAATGAGCTTCCGTCCGTATTTTATGTTTGAAATTTGTTGCAGGATATAATTTTATTGGCGTATATTTACCATAATAATATAGTTTCATACTTTATTATATATTCGTGAATTGCGAATTGGGTGTGTCGGTCGAGTGTAACCTCTTAAGTTATATATATATGTAATAAAATAAAAATATCATATTGTCATATTATTAGATTAATACTAATATTTATGATTGTCGTTTGTTTGTCTGTCTGTCTGTATGTATGTCGGTTCAATGTTGACGGCTACACTAGGGCTGTCCCGAGGCTGAAATTTGGTGCATAGGGTAGCTCCGACCTGAGAGTAACATAGGCCTGGAGACGATGGATTACCACTTCCGGTTTCAGTTTTATGTTACTTCCGGTTCATGCCTATAGACGTGCTACACCGGGCCAACCGCTAGTCATACGTAGGCCAGAACAAACGGCCCAGTGGAGGCGGGAAAATTAGGTACAGAAGGAAAACGAGAATAATTAATTTATACATATGGGAGATACGGTGACTCGGTGCTTAGGACGCTTGCTAAAAAAAACAAGGGCGCTCGGTACCTTGAGGTTTCCCTCTGACAAGAAAACGAAAAGCGTCTATAGTCGTCCGTGCACTTAAAAGAACTTTTGACGGTTGGAATTCTAAATAAGAGTAGGCTATGACGCCTTAAACACCATTTCATTCCATTTTACAGACACGTATGTGGTTGTTGATATCATGTATAACCATTTTACAATGATATGGTAGAAATCTTGTATAACCATTTTAAAAGTATATGTAATCTGGAATATATGATTATTCAACAGCTAAATCTGCTTTATGAAGACCCTTGGTTGACGTCAAATGTTATATAAATTATTAATTAGTCATTTGTTTACATGCCAAGTCCATCATTAACTCTCAAGAGCATAGGACGGTTTTGATTTTTAACGGATTTAATCTCGATAGCCAGTTAATAATTTAATTTAGAAATGGATGAACGAGGCTATGGTTTATTATCGTATTATAGCTCAGAATGAAGTAATTTGACTGAAATTTTCAACATGTTCTCTTTTCATTATCTATTGTATAACCACTAGCGAGAACTGTCAGCTCTTTTTTTTTTGGATGGGGGGGTGGGGGGTGGATGGCTGAATGGTTAGCGTGCGCGCGCTGTATCATAAAGTCTGTCATTGAGTCGACTGGCGTGGTTTCGAATCCCCGGTTGTACGTGGCAAGGAGTAGGATCGCCTGTCCAACCTCGTGGGTTTTCTCCGGGTCCTCCGGTTTCCTCCCACTGCTAAAAAGACCCCTACGCGCAAGCGAATAATGTAAATAAAACTAAACCATATGTTAGTCCCGAAATGACCTAGTTTGTGTGTGTGTGTCTCTCTCTCTCTCTCTCTCTCTCTGTCAGCTCTTTTTGTCTAAAGCTTACACAATGCATCTTTAAATAAAGCAATAATTCATTTTTCTTTCTTTAGATGAAGGATGTGGACAGAAAAATGTAAATATGGTTGCTGGACTTCCTAATCCTAAATTATTTCCAATATTATCTACAGAAATAACGCTAAAGTACGTTTATTAAACATACATTATGTAAGAGTTAAATCAGCCTTTTGCAAGTCTTTATTTAGGCTTCAGATGTTGTAGAAATTATTAATTAGACCTTTATTTACATGACAAGCCCAAAATTAGCTCTGTAGACCTTCGGATGGTTTGGATACAGCTTGGATTTAAACCAAGCAAACGTTTACCGTTTGTCACTGACGTCACTACCGGAGACAGGTGATGAAAGACCTGCCAAGCGAGGGTACCATAGCCATTGAGAATGTTACTTGATAATCGAGAATATGTGGGTGGAGTTATCGTCTGTCAATCAAACGATCGGCAATTCTCGTGCAGACACAGTCGATGCCTATCTCTAGTCCAAAATTCCAACAGTGGCAACTCCGTTCAGAAAAAAGTAATTTGACTGAAATTTTCAATATTTTCTTTTTTTTATCATGTATTTTGGAATTATTATAGCAAGAATGCGCAACTCTTTATTAAATTCTTAACTAATGTATCTTTAATTGCTTTGAATTCTTTGAATTACCCAATGAAACAAACATACATTGCATACAGTTGGGCACGCAGACTGGCCAGTTTAGCCATTTCTAGTCTCAGGGAGCAAGACATGGAGGTGCCGTACTCGATCCCGGCCAAGAAAGATAATCGAGTTTTTTTCCGGGGAGTTTCCACTTTGTCAGTGGTGCAGGACAGAGGGTGTGGCGCTGGACGAACAATGAGATCCTGTGTACAGATTGGAGTGCACGTAAAAGGAACCCGTGATAGTTAGGATTCGATATAAGAGTAGTCCATTAGCCCAAATAAAGCAGTGTGTACACGGGACCCCGGGTTATCGTCCCACCCGAGCGACTATACGCTGTTCCTTGCAATGCAATGACAAGGGGGAAGTACGACGGAAAATCTCGATGAACTGTTTTGACCAACATCAGGATGGAACAGGAGGCCTCCAGGTTACCGAGTCAACGACTTACTGGGTGAGTCACCCTGGCTCCCTCGCGAGGTCTACATACAACGCCCTATGCATGTATTGTCGAACTGTCAGTCCCATCTCAACTGCAATTCTAAGAGCGCATCCTGATCAATCACTTTGTTAACTGAAACCTTGGCATACCCGTTTTTAACCCAATACCCACAAAAATCTTTTTTTCAGGGATGGAACAACAGTTAAAATTGATGAACAAACCCAGGAGGACGGCCTGCAATACCAAAGCACATGGGGGTAAGATTGTTCTATTTCCCTTTCCCTCGTAGCACACTGCATGGCACATTACCCCCCCCCCCCCCACACCCACCACCTTCTCTATTTGTTATACCGGTTGGTGCAGAGAAGCAGGACATTAAACCCCATTTAATTTAATATTCCGTGCAATGATCTGAATCTCTGTGTCAAGTTTTCCAATAAAATACAAATGGCCAGTTTGTAATAATGTCCAAATAACCATTTCATTAGGTAATCGCAGCATAGTTTAAGATACAGGGCACTCATTATTCGCCAGAAACGTTAAAAATGTTACTGAATCTCTCCCTGCATTTTTGGTGGTTCATGTTTGGATTTTGATAGATCATGGATCATGTTTGAATTTTGGTGGATCATGTTTGAATCCACTAAATTTTGGTGGATCATGTTTGAATTTTTGTTGGATCATATTTGAATTTTAGTGGATCATATTTGAACTTCGGGGATCATATTTGAATTTTGACCATTTTGTATTGACACTTTCAGACACGTTTGATTTTCTATTGTGGTAGCCAGCCAGCAGGTCAACAAATCTGGAAATATATTCCACCTATTTTTTTTGTGTTTTGATGGAATATATATCTTCAGCATGTGAAGATTCAGAATCCGGATGATGCCAACATGGCACCTTTTGCATATGAGCTCAGTCTGGAATAACTTTTGGTCGGAACATGTTTTTATTTGATATCTGAAGTAAATGACACAGAAAACCTATATTTTAATATATTTCGAACCTTTTCAAAGAACTTCTACCCCACTAAATAACCAGAAAATGTCTCGTTGCAGCCATCTTAAATATTTGAATTTCCCCAAGGGTGCCAGGGTGGCATCATCCGGATTCTGAATCTACACATAGTGAAGATACATAATCCGCCGAAGACCTATATTCCAATATATTACACACGTTTTTAGGGAACTAGTGGAACTTTATGCGTTCCCCTCCCCCCCCCCCCAATATAGCCTCCATTTTGAATTTGGTCCCCTAGCGGAATTAGTTGTCGCTTTTAGGAGGAATGCCCAAGCTCATCCTACAGAAACCAGTTGACTATATTTCCATGTCAAGGCTTAAAATGCCTGCCGGACTATGATGCATAATTTGCATACCCGAGGCCAGGTTTGCCTGCCCGTGGGCCCTAAGTCAAACTCGTTAGTGGCTCCAAAATACCACTGTACACCTGAAATTAGTTTGAATGGCTAATACTATGCATATTGATAAATCCGACCCTCTGCATACCTTAACCTAACCCCGTCGATATCGATGGATGGCCTGTGACACCTAGGACTGACCCTTTAATGCTTGACCAGTTGATATTGTTAAATTTGAGTTTTGCGCAAGATGGCAAAATTTTCTTCCTACATTAATTATACGAATTTGTAACTTTTAAACTAAAGCATGCCCGAAATGATAGACTGGTTAATAGATCTACAGCGGAGGGTACATAACCCGCCAACACTTGGTAGAGAAGATCATCCCGGACAAATGGAGTTGATGATAATAGCAGGATGTCAAGATGGAATCAGCACGGTGAGTTATCCAGGGTGTTCATTGTTCACAAAAAAAGATAAAAAAAATTCTGAAATACTGGTTGCCTGTCCAACCTCGTGGGTTTTCTCCAGGTCCCCCGGTTTCCTCCCAGTGCTAAAAACCCCTACGAGCAAAGCGGAATATTGAAATAAAATTGAACCATATATGTTAGTCCCAAAATGACATAGTTTGTGTCGACTGGACGTTAACACCCTCTCTCTCTCTCTCTAAGAAATACTAAATCCGATAGAAGGGATAACTCTGCTGAAACAACATTCCTCAAGTTCAAAATTAATCAGTCGTTGGTGTGTAACTTTATGATTAAAGGCAGCGTCATATAACGAGACAGTTGGTTAGGTCCAATTGATAAGGCAAACGCCGTCTGACCTTAGTCGCCATTTTGTTACCCATAAATCAACATTAGAGCAGAACAAATATAAACTAATAAGTGTCAGTGGAAACGAACGGAAAAACTCATGGTCGTTCGTATATGACGAGCATGCACCTAGATCCCGAATACACGTTGGCATACACGTAAAAATTCCCCTGGAAGTTTGAATTCGACAAAGAGTAGGCGGAAATGCCAATGTCCCTTCAGAATATATCCGGTTGGTGGACACACGTATGATGTTATATCCCATTTCTTCGCAGTATTTCTTCATTATCAAACATACATTATGCAAGAGCTAAATCTGAATAATTGCAGGTCTTTCCTCTTTAGGCCTGGAATATTATCTAAATTATTAGTTAGAATTAGACATTAACTTATCAAGACCATTATCAAATCTCGATGACATCGCTAGCCTGCGATTTTTATTGGATTATTGGCATGTTCGACTTTCATTCATAATTAAATCATGAAATGGATAATCGAGACTATGTTGGGTTTTTTTTTATCCTAACGACTTAAGTAATGATGATCGAGGCTAGGCCGAAAATTCAATCGCTAAAATCTCTGTTCATAGTGGATAAATTTGATTGAAATTTTCAGCAAATTCCCTTTACATTATCTAGTTTTTAACTATTATAGTGAGAACTGCCAACTCTTTATCTAATCTTCCATAATGTATCTTTATTCGATGTAATGTCCACGATCAGAATTGACTATCTTTAATTCCTTGCTAATATAAAATGTTTATTTCATGTTTAGTGTTTCCGGATACTGCTGAACGAAGGTGATACTTTATTAATTCAGAATCCATCTTACCCGACCATGTTCAATATGGTAAGTATCCTCATTTTAACATGGCCTGGGTGGTTCACGTACCCTAGTTATTCCCTATATCAGTAGGACGTTAAACCCCAGTCTATTCATTTATCCGTTCTCGTCTAGTGAACAGTTCGACCGGAAATGGCTTTTCATAACTGTAACTTGACGAACATCGTAGCATAGTCATGTTCAATTTCAATCGGTTTATTTAGTTCTATGTTTAACCAAAAATGCCCAAAAACGAACATCGTAGCAAAGTCATGTTCAATTTCAATCGGTCGAATTAGTTTTGTTTAACCAAAAATGCCCAAACGTTATGAAATTAAATTTCCCTGCGTCTACGAGGTTGTACCGCCACTCGCGTTGTCTGTTGCACGCCCTTCTCTTCCTGTGTGACTGGAAGCTTTCTGGAAACCCTGCTATTGTTGTCATCAGTGGTTACTGGTGATTGTACGCCCTTCTCTTCCTGTGTGACTGGAAGCTTTCTGGAAACCCTGCTATTGTTGTCATCAGTGGTTACTGGTGATTGTACGCCCTTCTCTTCCTGTGTGACTGGAAGCTTTCTGGAAACCCTGCTATTGTTGTCATCAGTGGTTACTGGTGATTGTACGACCTTCTCTTCCTGTGTGACTGGAAGCTTTCTGGAAACCCTGCTGTTGTTGTAATCAATGTTTACTGGTGAGTAGTGATGATTGTTGGTAGTCATAATAACACAACTTTATGGATTTTACTACTTCTTGATTTATTACATGAAACGTTAAATACCCTTACATGTATCTCTATCAAGCAAAGGGGGTAGATGGCCGAACGGTTAGTATGTACGTGCTGTATCATAAGATCTGTCATTGAGTCAACTGGTGTGGTTTCGATTCTCCTGCTAAAGATCCCTGTGTTAGTCCCAAAATGACCCCCCCCGTCTCTCTGTCTCTCTCTCTGTCTCTCTCTCTCCCCCTCCCTCTCTCTCTCTCTCTCTCTTGATTAGTAATGCAATAATACACGTAACAAAATATCTGATACCATATCATTAGAACAATCTGATTAAAACACAGATCCTATTTCGTTTCGTTTTTATAGTTCAAAATTTCGTTTTACTTGTCTTTACTACACTAGGATCTGGAAGAGTTGTTATATAACTCTCGTTCTGGTAGATGGGAGGAATTAGTCACTGAGTTGGCATAAGGTGCACGGAACTGTGGGTAACCTACTAGAAAAATCAATGTTGATTGGTATAACATAGTTTGAGTTAATAGAAATAAAACATGATCTGGATGCAACATTTTATTCTAGCATACTAGATATACTATAAAGTCGTACCTGGTCAGCCGCCAAAGCTGGTCTGATTTACATGTAAAACCAAAGCCAATTTATACTAAATTCACTTTGATAACACGGGTAATTAATAATATGGAACAAAAGGACTTATGTAAAGACTACATAATTAAATCATTTGTCATTGATAGATTATCTCACTATAAGCATATGGCAGGCTTCAGAACAATTGATGTGTGACAGCTAACGATAGTAAACGTCATTAGTGATCAGCGGATTATCTAACTTGACCATTATACATATGGCAGCATCTGGTTCTTTATTAAATGAACAATAGTGTGGTCAATTAGAGAACAGTGGAGAGTTTATTACACATGCGGTCATAGGATAATTATAATCTTTTACCTATCACTGTCTCTCACACTATGTAACAATAGTGAATCAAATGTCTGACGTCATAGGGCCAAAAAGCGACTCGTATGACCTCTGACGCGACCTTCCACTACAACTGGATAAATCTTCAAGTAGTGTAGGTCATAGAAAGTATAGAAAACCGATATGAAATATAGATATTTATTTTGATAATGGAATGATCTTGAATTAAAACATGCATTATTTCTTCTCAGGTTGAATCCATCGGTTGTACACCAGTAGGGATAGACTCAGATGAACATGGAATAAGCGCAAGCAAAATGCGGACTCTTCTAGAAAATTGGGAAACATCAAACCCAGTAAATAAAAATGCTCCAAGACCGAAGGTGTTGTATTGTATTCCTACTGGAGAAAACCCTAGAAGTGCATCATGGTCGTTTGAAAGAAGACAAGCTGTATATCAGATATGTCGAGAGTTTAATCTGCTGATAATGGAAGATGATCCCTATTATTTTACATATTTTAACAGGGTATGTGAATGTTTGAATTTCTAGGGGACATGGATGGTCGAATGTTGAAGTCGCGTGGTTTCAAATCCTCGTTTGTACGTGACAGAAGTTGGGTCACCTGTCCAACCTCGTGGGTTTTATCTAGATCCTCCGGTTTCCTCCCACCACTAAAGCACGCACAATCCAATTATATTGAAATAAAATTAAACCATATGTTAGTCTCGAAATGACCATGTTAAGCCTAATTGTTCTCTCGGTGCCCTCGCTCTTGAAATAATTCACAATACAAAATATTGTACGAAATAGATACTTATCCTCTGAACCGTTGTAAATTTTAAACTGATTACTTATCTTTAGCAATTATAAACTTACCTGTGTGTTAGAAATTACCTCCCGTTAAATAAAATCCATTGCACAATTAGATATCCTAACGAATAAGGGGGGTTGGATGGCCGAATGGTTAGCACGTGCGTGCTGTATCATAAAGCCTGTCATTGAGTCAACTGGCGTGGTTTCGAATCCCCAGTTGTACGTGACAAGGAGTAGGGTCGCCTGTCCAACCTCGTGGGTTTTCTCCGGGTCCTCCGGTTTCCTCCTACTGCTAAAGACCCCTACGCGCAAGCGAATTATTGAAATAAAATTATACCATATGTTAGTCCCGAAATGACCTAAACGCCATTTCTCTCTCTCTCTCTCTCTCTCTCTCTCCTAACGAATAAAAAAGTTATCTCTTGAAAAGTTGAATTCCCACAAAATTTTAACATCGAAAAATGCCAAAATGGTTTCTGATTTAATCAAATTCTTGATTAGATAGTCGAATGGATGAATTTTCGTTTGAACACGAATGCGGCACAAAAAAAAATGACATTCGTTTTACGAACCTTAAATTTTACTTATGTATATCTTTCATATGGTATATAACATGTTAGATTTAACGTATATGTACAGGGAATGTAAAATTATCCGGTTACGGTGTGATTTAAAAATCATTTACAATAAATTGAAAGATAGTTGATGATAAAAAAAAATATGTTTACATTATGAACAATAAATATTGCACCATATCATAGTACGGTCAAAACTGTTGAATCGAGAGCTGATGTTGCGCTTCTTACAGGGTTTTTTTAGCATTATAAACCCACCCAAACAGCACTTTCAGGGCTGCTGCAACGCGTTCATAGATGTCACTGAAACGGTTATTATTGGATTGAAATAATATCAATTGACGAGACACTCGAAGACTTCTTATCGCCTTCAGTTGAGGGGGGTTGGATGGCTGAATGGTTAGCGTGCGCGCGCGCGCTGTATCATAAAGTCTGTCTTGAGTCGACTGGCGTGGTTTCGAATCCCCGGTTGTACGTGGCAAGAAGTAGGGTCGCCTGTCCAACCTCGTGGGTTTTCTCCCGGTCCTCCGGTTTCCTCCCACTGCTAAAGACCCCTACGCGCAAGCGAATTATGTAAATAAAATTAAACCATACGTTAGTCCCGAAATGACCTAGTTTGTGTCGAGTGGACGTTAAACCCCATTTCTCTCTCTCTCTCGCCTTCAGTTGATTGAAATAATATCAATTGACGAGACACTCGAAGACTTCTTATCGCCTTCAGTTGATATTTGTCGTTTCCCAAACTCAAACGATCGAAATGATGGCGCTTTGTTTTGGTTGCAGTGTGTGGTTGTCAAGGTTAAACCAGCCCCGCAACACGTGACGAAAGCCATGTTGTCTTGAACTCAGTCAAAAATGCAAGTAAATACGTTAAAGTTTCAAGAGAGAACTTTTTTAATTGTGGAATAGATTTTATTTAACGAGGGTTGATTTCAAACATACATATAAGTTTATAATAACCAAAGTTAAATAGTTTATTTTATTCATAATCGAAGAAATCCGATTAAGGGCAAGGTAATGTGACACCATCTTGTTACCAACTGGTCTGGACATCAACAAGGCTGAACATATTATTTCCTAACACAGAAAAGTGGCCCCTGGATACAAAAGACCAAAATAAACTATATTACTCACAATACACTATTTTACTGTCAATACCCCTTTAAATCGTACATCCGCGTGTTGTCATGTAAACGAACATTTCAATTTCATCACTGTCTTGTCCAATCGTGGTTGGGGATCACGTGGCTAAGTGGGTAAGACGCTAGCTCGCTAACCTGGAGGTCGGGTGTTCGATCCCTGCATTGGCCGAGAAAGTTCATCCAGATTTTCCGGCGTGGTTCTCCCTTGTCAGTGATGCAGGACGGAGGGGCTGACATGGAAAGCTGTCTAGTCGTTCGGATGGGACGAAAAACCGAGGCCCCGTGTACACATTGGCGTTCACGTAAAAGATCCCTTGGCAGTTGGAATTCGATATAAGAGTAGGCCGTAGTGCCGCTGTCCGGGCAAAATTTCCCTCATAGCACACTGTATGGCGTATGCCCAGGTTAGGCGCAGAACAGTAGGACGTTAAACTCCATTTCATTTCCAATCGTGGTTACGCCTACAGACAAGAAGATAAAACATGGGGACAGCTTTTATCTCTAATCCATGTAGTACAGTAGTCGGGTTGCTTTCCTGTTTCCATGTAATGTGAGATTTCCGCACCCTTGCTACCACGCGGTGTAGGTCCGACATTGTTTTTTCAATCTTGAAAATGACCCTTCATATCTTTAGACGAGCGATGCAAATCATCGTTGAACTGACAAAGTCTACCAGAACATTATATCGATATGTAAAAGTTTTATTTACATACACTTATGCCGTATTCCGTTTAGTAGTAAAACACTTCACCGTTTTATAAATGTAAACATTGTGAACGAGTTGTCTTCGTCTCCGAACGTCTAGCGTGCTGTGCCCTTATTCACGAAAACTTAAACTAAGATACAATCGAAATTTTAAGAAATACTGCAATTCGATTGGCTGACCAATATGCAAATTGGATATATGCAAATTGATTTTACTGACCAGCCAATCGAATTGCAGTATTTCTTAAAATTTCGATTGTATCTTAGTTTAAGTTTTCGTGAATAATATCATTGAACAAAGTGTTAATTTTAATTTTAAAAAATTTAAATTTGTAATTTAAACAACTGCGGAATAAGATTAATTCATATCTGAATACAAAATGAAGTGTCATTTACGTGACTTGATAATTTTAAAAAATACATTATTCATGAAATTATTGTCGTAATCAGCACTTCCCTTGAGCGGTAATTCGACACAGAAAGGTAAATAAATATGCAGTAAATACAATTATTGATAAATCAGACGTTAAATAGTAATATTATAGACTATTGACCTTCATTTGCAAGAACTGTCGCATCTTTTAATATTAACATTTTCATGTTAGTGCATGTTAGCCCCGATTTTATTTCATATCAATAAATTTAATTTAACTGAGATGTCATACAATAGGGTTATGCATTGATCAAAACTAAAATACTGTATGGCCTTTGCCACGATCCATCGATGTAGATTGTCGTGTTGTCTAGTCTGTTCGTTAGAATCGAATGAACGTTAAAGATCCCCACGAGTTAGAAATCGAAAGTAGAGTAGATGTACCTCGTAGCACACTGCATGACCGTTTTGTTTTATTGATTATTTTATTTTTGTATTTTAAACAGCCTCTGCCTCGTTCAATGTTATCTATTGATGTAGATGGTCGTGTTCTCAGATTTGATTCATTCTCAAAGGTTATGTGCCCTGGGTATGTATTATCTACCAATCTAACAATACTATGTACAAATATACCAGACCTTGGAGCATTTACATATAGGCCTAGAAGGTTAAAACCTAGGGCTTAATATCTCTGGGGCTTACGTGTATAATATTTTGACTGGCCATACGCCTTTCTTAGTCTTAAAACACCCATCATCCTCCAGGAGCGGATCCAGGGAGGGGGGGGGGCTCAATTACATAAATGTTTTTTTTATAAAACAACACTTTATGAGAAAAGTGTAACGGTCGTGTGCTTTATCCTTTACCATCAGATGGTGGGATTGGATGGGCATTCAAAGCGCGAAATAATGATATAGACATTTGTCGTGTCACAATTAATGCTTTGCATCAATGAAATTGAATCACAATGTGTTCGTATTAATTCATTATAAAAATTGACATCAAACGCGGTGTTGGATTTCTCTCTTTAAAATGCCCAATGTGTATGTCTACCTTTAGAGACGATGATGGCATCATGCATTGTCAACTGTCAAATATCCTTAACAAGAGCCTGGCAAACCCTCTCCCAGTGTTCATAGTGAGCCAATCTTAAACCAGTCTCGGAACAGATCATGTTATGTATTTGAACCAGGAACGTCTTGCTGTATTCCTGGTTTTTCTTGGAGCGATGGTCTTAATAAACACTCTAAGACTCCACCAATTCCCGTACGATTACCATACTCGATCGTTAAACAAGGGCACCTCGTTATAACATCATAATTTCAAGATGGCGCCGATGAATGCAAGAAGTGAAATTTCCTGGTTCATAATATGGCCTACTATTGAGATGGATTCAATAACGTTACATTTTTAATTAGATATCTCCTGGGGGATCACGTGGCTAAGTAAGTAAGACGCTGGCTCGCTAGCCTGGAGGTCGGGTGTTCGATCCCTGCATTGGCCGAGAAAGTTCATCCCGATTTTCCGGCGAGGTTTTCCTTTGTCAGTGATGCAGGACGGAGGGCCGGACAAGGACAGCTGTCTAGTCGTTCGGTTGGGACGAAAAAACCGCTTGGCGTGCACGTAAAAGATCCTTTGGCAGTTGAAATTCGATGTAAGAGTAGGCCGTAGCGCCGCTGCCCAGGCAAAATGTCCCTCATAGCACACTGTATGGCGTATGTCTATCTTCATTAGCCCAGGTTAGGAGCAGAACAGTAGGATGTTAAACCCCATTTCATTTCATTTCAAATTAGATATCTTCTGTGTATAGCTACACATGTAACAGCTATAATACATGTGTAGCTATACGCATTAAAATGTATTTAAGAAATAATTTGCTCTTGTTATATTTCGTTTTTGTTTTACATTTTTGGCGTGAAAAAGTTTTCGGCTCGGTTGTATGAGTGGACCAAGACCAGTAATGATGAAAATGTTAGCCATTTATATGTCTACAACAGCTCAAGCATCCGCCGTGTCACAGGTAAAATGTATTTTGTTGTTATGAAATGAAATGAAATGGGGTTTAGCCTACTCTTATATAGAATTCTGAATGCTAATGGTTCTTTTACGTGCACGCCAAATGTACTAGGGACTTCAATTATTCGTACCATTCGAACGACTATACGTTGTCTTTTGTCAGGCCCTTTGTCCTGTGCCACTGACAAGGGGGGAAACAACGGGGGAAAACCCCAACTTCCTCGGTCAACACAGGGATCCAATAAGAGAGCCAACATCCTACCCACTGAGTCACCTCGGATCCCCGTCTTTCGTTGTTTCACAATCCTGAGAGGGTGAGAATGGAGTGGTGTCAGACGCGAATCCAGGGGGGGGGGGAGGGTGCCGTGTACCCCCCCCCCCCCCCAGCCCCAGTGAGACTAAAGGTGTAACGCGTTTGCTTTAGATTATAAGGTCTCTCACTGAGTGGTGGGGTTTTGGTCCTACACTTGAACATGGCAAAGAGTTGGGTCGCCTGCCTAACCTCGTGGATTTTGTACGGTGTATCCCACTGCTAATAAATGACACGCACATCGCGCATTATTTGAATAAAATTGTACCGTATTTTAATCCAAAAATGATCTAGTATGTGTTGATTGGACGGTATTGAATCCTTTTAGCAACATATTAGTTAGACACCTGTAAAAGTCCAAAACCTGCACTCAGTGATAGTGATCTTTAGATGTGGCCTTGGACATCTCATTGTGTTGTTATGGAAGAATACAATCATGAAACCGAGGAAGACGTCGCCACTGCTCAGCAAGAGCATGTTGAAGGTCCTGCAACGTCAGTGGTGGATTCACTTGCTGACGCATAAATGAGCGTAAGGTTCACCTCGTCTGCGGTACACTCGGACCCTGCCATCGGCAAATCTCAAAGTGAATCGAGATTCGTCACTAAAGACAACCGAATTCCACTGTCTTTGAGTAAATCTTATGTGTCTTGTGGCCCACACAAGTCGGTTACGGCGATGGAGAGGTGTCAATATTGGTCCATTATGAGCCCCCGAGCTCGAAGACCACCAGTCTGCAAGCGATTTCGAACCGTTTGTGCAGTTACTCTTCCACCAAACATCTCTCTGCTTGTGGAGGTTGCAGTGACAAATTTGTTTCTAAGATGACGTAATCGTATTGCTTGATTTTCCTGGAGTGACGTCACACGTGGCGCTCCCGTCCTTGGGCGGTCGGCAATATGTCCAGTTTGAAGCACTCTCATTCTAAGATTAATTATTGTCTGGCGTGAACAATTAAAGGCTCTTGCAACAGTGACCACAGACTGACCAGCATAGAGCCTACCTATAGCACGTAGACGTTCTACATTTGAAAGGCGTGGCATTTTCTAACAAAGATGAAAATAACAATTTTAATTTGTTTTTCCAGTTCAAGTTACGTGTGCGTGTTCAGTTTAAGCAAACTTGCATCGATTGACCTCACGAGTTTGTGTTTGCACGTGTTTTTCAGGTTTTTCATCTTTATATGCTCAAAAGTCATGTGATCCACGTGACTTTACAATTTTATGAAATTAAAGGCTTCTTACTACTTACTATCGTTAGAAACACTTTAAAATTTATTTGACTTACCAGAAAAAAAAATTTGTTGAAATTCATCAGTGTCAAGTTTTTAATTTGGCTGAGTATATATCAGTCTCCTTTACTCAAGGAGAAACGTAGGCCGTTACAAACACATTTCATTTCTTAGTCTTAATCGCAGCCGATCTCCTAATATTTTTAATTCTGGGTCCCGCAATCAATTTCTATCAGTTAATTCTGTGTATGTCTACTCAACCTCTATCAGTTTATTCTGTATATTTCTAGTCAGTTAATTCTGTATCCCCCATCCAATCTCTAGTCAGTTAATTCTGTGTATCGTTAGTCAATCTCTACCTATTAATTCTGTACATCTCTACCTGTTAATTCTGTACATCTCTAGTTAATGTCTCTATATATGTTTATATATTATTTATACATCCGTAGATGACATTGATGGCCATTCTTAAGAAATGGGGTTATGAAGGCTTTATGCACCAATGTGACAGAGTTTCACAATTTCTGAAACAAAACGCAAGTTATTTCGTTGATGCTGCAACAATATATTTATCAGGTAACTTATATTAAAGGTACCTTATGTAAGATTTAGATATAATAGTTCACAAATAGATAATGCAACATGAATATATTGAAAATTTATTTAAACTACTTTATTCGGGGCGAATTTATGACTGTTTTAAGATGTAGCGTAGATCGTGTATTATCGTAGCAACCGTACTTGATAACCGAGACTTAGCCTCGATTATCAATTGTATCGTTTGTTCAAACTCATTAAAATCTCGGCTATCCGAGGTCTGGACAGAGGCTAGCCATAGACAAATTGAATGAATAAATAAATAAAATACAGCTATGAACTTATCAGTAGACACCAGTGAGTACTCAATGGGGATCACGTGGTTATTCGTATTTTCTTTGTGTGCCGTTCAAAATTTCTCGGCACACTTAGGAGGATCTCGCGGTACACTGGTTGAGAATCACTGCTGTAACGTGTGCTTAAACTGTCTATTACATCAGTTATTGTTCTCTACTGTAAATTGCTATAACATCGCTGATTGTTTTCGATTGTAACTTGCTATAACATCATTGTTCTTGATTGCAACGTGCTATAACGTCGCTTATTGTTCCCGATTGTAACTTGCTATAGCATCGGTTATTGTTCTCTACTGTAACGTGCTGTAACATGGCTTATTGTTCTCGATTGTAACGTGCTTTAACATCGCTTATTGTTCTCGATTGTAACGTGCTATAACATCGCGTATTGTTCTCTACTGTAAAGTGATATAACATTGCTTATTGTTCTCTACTGTAACGTGCTATAACATCGCTTATTGTTCTCTACTGTAACCTGTTATAACATCGCTTATTGTTCTCTACTGTAACGTACTATGACATCGTTTATTTTTCTCGATTGCAACATGCTATAACATCGCTTATTGTTCTCTCTTGTAAAGTACTATAACATCGCTCATTGTTCTCGATTGTAACGTGGTATAACATCGATTATTGTTCTCGATTGTAACTTGTATTACAGACGTTGCAGAATGGACCATTCCAGATTCTGGTATGTTTTTATGGTTACGATTTAAAGATTGTATGGACGCTACAGACATAATGAAAAAATGTGATCAACAAGGACTGAGCGTTCTTGGTGGCTTTAACGCAACAGCCGGAAAACCTGCGTCTCCATATGTAAGAATAGCTTATGCTTTATCTACTAAAGAAGAAATTATCGAGGTAATACCTACATTTAATAATCTTAAAGTAAACATATTGTTATGGATTTATAAAAAGCCAACCTCGTCTGTCCTTGCACGGAGATAACCACACGTCATTTGGGTGCGTGTCGAGAGTATTATGGAGCGGGGTCCTCGTCGCCGAAATCATTTTTTTTTTTTTTGAGTGGGGGGGGGGGGCATTTAAGAAACTATGGTAAACACGAATTCAAATAAATGACCATTGAATGAACCTCTCCTTCAGGTTATAAAAACGTTTGTGAATGGCGTGTAGTAATTGAAAATTCTACAAGGTTGAACAATTACTGGTCAATATGATTAAAACACAGATCCTATTTTCTTTCGTTTTTTATAGCTCCAAATTTCGTTTTACTTGTATTTACTACACTAGAAAGTTCTTATATAATCCGTGTTCAGAATGATGTGAGGGATTAGCCAATGAAACGGTCTGTTAGGGCGAGTTTTTGGCGTTAGTTGCACGGAACTGTGGTTATCCCACTAGAAACATCAGCGCTGATTGGTTAATCAAATGTCTGACGTCATAGGGTCAAAAGCCGCTCGTATGACCTCTGACGCGACCTTCCACTACAACTGGTCAGATCTTCATGTAGTAGGGGCCATCGAAAGTATTATAAAAGAAACGAAACGAAATATAGATCTGTATTTTAATCAGATTGAAAAACTGGTTTCTGCGATGGTACTCTAAGTCTTGTATGTTTCTATAATTAGTATTCTTTATTCAATAAATAGGTTTAAGTGTTTTGTCCAAAACTGTTAATAAAAAGGGGGATCACGTGGCTAAGTGGGTAAGACGCTGGCTCGCTAGCCTGGAGGTCGGGTGTTCGATCCCTGCATTGGCCGAGAAAGTTCATTCAGATTGTCCGGCGTGGTTTCCCCTTGTCAGTGATGCAGGATGGAGGGCCTGACAAGGACAGCTGTCTAGTCGTTCGGATGGGACGATAAACCGAGGTCCCGTGTACACATTGGCGTGCACGTAAAAGATCCCTTGGCAGTTGGAATTCGATATAAGAGTAGACCGTAGCGCCGCTGCCCGGGCAAAATTTCCCTCATAGCACACTGTATGGCGTATGCCCGTCTTCATTAGCCCAGGTTAGGAGCAGAACAGTAGGACGTTAAACCCCATTTCATTTCATTTCATTTCGTTAATAAAAAGTTCCGTTATGCGCATTTCACAAAAATCTGTTTTGATATTTTATCTTTTCTGGTTAATTACATATATTTTATATACAACAATATCAATTGTTTAGACGATCCAAGTAAAGTATGGTTTATCCGTCTGACAAAAATACAATTGCGGAAGTGGGCGGGTGGTGGGGGGCAGACCTTGTTTAACGTTGGCACAAAACAAACTAGTTTATTTTAAGAAGCCATTGTGCCTAGGGATCATTAGCTAAATCTATTTGTTAAGGCCAGCTCAAATGATGTCATGGTCGCTGAGATGTAAACACGGTTAGGGTACGTGATTGTTGGCGAACTTGTCGGTTCGGGTTAGGGTAAGCATTTGGGCTAGATCCAGGGTTACGTTTTATGGTTGGGATAAGCGATAACCCTGTTTACATCTCGTGACCTTTGACCAAACTTGATGTTGGCCTTATCAAATAGATCTAATCGGGATCATTAGTAGTGGGTGGAAACCGGAAGTCTCGGAGAAAACCAGCTAGCTATTGAAGGGTGATCTTACATATTGACAGGGCCGTAACTAGCTGAAGTGTTCTCGGGGGTGCTGTAATGTTGATGGACAATGTATATCTATTTTTTTACAGGGAGGGGGACGTTTTGTAGTGGGGCACCCACCACCCCCTTAGTTACGGGCCTGCTTATTGAAAACACTACAGCAGGAGATTAGAATAACATTTTATTAAAATTCGCTCGTTTATTTTGTTTTAGGCATGTAAGATTATGGCAAGAGTGGCAAAAGAGGAACGAAATGCTTGTAAATAATAGCTGAAGACCGTTACTATGGATGCTCTACATACTAATAACTGTAGACGGACTGCAACAAAGTCTTTAAACTTCATATGATCACTAGTAATTCCTTCTCTCTCTCTCTCTCTCTCTCTTTCTCTCTCTCTTTTCCCGAAAGCACGGATCGAACACCCGACCTTCAGGCTAGCGAGCCAGCGCCTCACCCACTTAGTCACCGTGACTCCCTATGCGTATTAAAATACTGGACGGATCAGTTGTTCTTGTAAGTAAATCCAACACCCATTTAATATAGAGACCGGTTATTTAGACAGAGATCGCCTCGTCTCTATATTACCCGGTATCAGTGGGAATTCCCTCCTCCCAGTACACCGTATTGTAGTAGAGTAAAATACCTACAACCCACAACTTACTTTCAATTATAAAAATACTATCTTAGACGTTTAATTAGAAACGCATTGTTTAATTGATAGTCAGATAACTATGATCACAGAAAGAGATTATGAGATTAAGAGATTTACGCTTTACCTGAGAAGCAACAAAGGTTAGATAATTATGTATTGTTCGACGTTAATACAGAAAAGTGGGACATTAAACCCCATTTTATTTCATTCGTCTTTGTCTCTATATTAAGCCCGTCGATATCAATATCGTGTTTGCCCTCCATTATCACCAGCCTTAACAATAGTTTATTTCTCTACACGAACCTCCTGGCGAAAATGGCACCCAACCTATTTTAACGATTTAATCGCCTTGTTCAACATTCACAATATTGTAAGTTACAAGAGATTCAATAATACAACAAAATTAAACATACATTATGACGTCACATTAATAATGATGTCATTGTAATAATCATATTAAACATACATTATGCAAGAGCTAAATCTGCCAATTGCAGGTCTTTCTTTAGGACTGAAATGTTATCTAAATTATTAATTAGCCATTTATTAACTTATCCAGACCAGATTCAACTCTCGATACCATCGCTAGCCTGCGATATTTACTGGATTAGAACCCGATCTACTGCTCAACGCTCATTGATGATTAAATCAAAAAATGGATAATCGAGACTATGGTTTTTTTATCATACCGACTTTAGTAATGATGATCGAGGCTAGACCCAAAATTCAATCGCTATATTCTCTGAAATTTTCAGCAAATTCCCTTTACATTTTCTAGTTTTTAACTATTATAGTCAGAACTTCCAGCTCTTTATCTAATCTCCCATAATGTATCTTAAAACAATAAATAAACCAGGCTATGTTCCAATGTCTTATTTAGAGCAGTAAACGCTTCGAGGCCTTAAGGCAGACTTCAACATTTTCAACAGAATTTATCTTTGTTGTCCAGATATATCTTACTCAAATAATTAACGTAGATCACCATAATAAATAACATTCTAAAGTTCATTTGGGTCTTAGTGTTGTCTTTAATTTTTCATTTCTTTTTCTTATTTCTTCTATCTCTTTTTTCTTGTTGCTTATATTCTGAAATACAGAAATTGACAATGATGAATAATAGTACTGCGTGTATTTATAATGCGGTTTATCTACAAAGGTATTGCTCAGGGTGTGATACATCCACGATTTCTCCAGTGGTCCCATTCCGTTAAACACCCATATATCCTGGGTTTATCCATGGGGGAGACTTGATAATTACTGCCTGTTATGGCTGACATAAAAAAACATCTTTCCTACTCAAAAGATGTTTCAGGACATCTTTTTGTGTGCATGTCAATTCTTTTATTTTAAATTTCGTGCAAATGTTCGCATAATCGAGTTGACAAGCTGCCATATTGTTGTGAACGTTAACAATGGGGCTAAGACTGGTTTGTAAACTGTTTTTTGACTGGTTCGTAGAGCCGCGCTGCGGTCAAGAACAGATAATTTGAATACGTCAATACCAATGGATGGACCCATGGTATAGTGGGGTACCGAATATGTGCTTGATACAATTACTGGGATATAGTTAAAGCCCGATTATTGCCCTTTACTTCTAACCTCTTTAAATCTTCGACAGTATTGCTGCTCCTGTACCCTAGACTCGGTGGGTATAGCGTTTGTTCAATAAGCAGGAGCTCTGGGGCTCCGTGCCTTTCTCTGCGATATCATTTCGGTGGAAGTTATTTCGCACAGACGGACACGCTGCCGATATTGGCCGAGAAAGTTCCTCAGGTTTTTGGGAGAGAAATGGTTTACCGTTCACTACGTCATTTCCGGATGAGGTTGGACAGGCCACCTACTCCTTGTCATGTACAAGCGGGGAATCGAAATCACGCCATTGTACTCAACGACAGGCCTTATGATGCAACGCGCACGTGTTACCCCCCCCCCCCCCCAGAACACACACAGACACAGACACACAGAGGATAAAGGGGGATTTCAGACAATCACTAAATGTGTACCTACCTGTTCTACGTGTTAACCCCCCCCCCCCCCCCCGCTCAACCTCCCCCCTCACACACACACACACACACACCCACACACGCACAAACGCCCATCCCCACACACACAATCCTAAGATAAAAGGAGATTTCAGACACTCAGTAAAGTGTACCTACCTGTTCTACGTGTTAATCCCCTCTCCCCGCCCAACACACACACACCCACCCACCCTCACACATACGCCACATCCACCCTCCCACATATATACAACTCTAGGACAATCAGTAAATATGTACCTACTTGTTCTATTTTTTGTCTATCAACTGATATATGTATATGAGTATAAATCTTTAACTTCTGCATCTTGTTGACTGTATATACAATACTATTTAAACCATCATATGGCATTCTCTTCACGGCATTTTGAAGTAGCTTGAATCTGAAATACAAATTGAAATTGGATGTGGTTTAACGTCCTACTGTTCTGCATCGACTGGACAAATCGGGAGTGACATACGCCATACAGTGTGCTATGAGAAAATTTTGTCCAGACAGAGGAGCTACGGCCTACGATTATCTGAATACCAACCGTCGAAGGTTCTTTTATGTGCAACGTGTACACGGTACATCGGTTTTTCCTACCAGCCAGCCCCTTCCATCCTTAACTACTGACAAGCTACTGACAAGGGAAAACCACGTAGGAAAGTCCCGGGGAAATTTCTCGGCCAACGCCGGTATCGAACGCCAGACTTCCTGGGTAGTGAGCCAGTTGATAACTGGGACACCGCAGCTCCCGATTTGAAGAATCGTAAAAGTAAAAAAATCTTCGACACCAACACCGATATCTACAGGAATTGTAATTCCTTGATCGATTGGTTAAATTATGACCAATGGGGACTCGATGAACGACGAGGGTGTCAAGGCCACGGTATCTGTAAAAATCCACCCGCCCCATCCCCTTAAGCTTTGTGTTTCTCATTAATCGAAAATTGGCATTGTAAGTTTAAAGGACTATATTGGTGTCAGCCATTATTTCATATGTGATAGAACTGGTTAAACACATTCTAAATATAATTTTAACACAGAGATCATTGCTGTAGATGTGTAACAAACGTTTGAAGAAACGGGGAGTGACGACAAAAATGTCAAAAACATGAGTTATCCTTCTATATAACTGACTGAAGTAACGAGCGATAACAGACACACGGTTGAATATTGTCCTTTAAGCTCAGTGCACTATGACATAAAATGAAAGGTCAAACTGTTTTATCCAAAATATGTTAGGGCAAGGGTGATAAAACTTAAATTTGTATAGTAATTTAGTGGAAATGAAATGAAATGAAATTGAGTTTAACGTCCTACTGTTCTGCTCCTAACCTGGGCTAATGAAGACGGGCATACGCCATACAGTGTGCTATGGGGGAAATTTTGCCCGGACAGCGGCACTAGGGCCTACTCTTATATCGAATTCCAACTGCCAAGGGATCTTTTACGTGCACGCCAATGTGTACACGGGACCTCGGTTTTTCGTCCCATCCGAACGACTAGACAGCTTTCCTTGTCAGCCCCTCCGTCCTGCATCACTGACAAGGGAGAACCACGCCGGAAAATCTGGATGAACTTTCTCGGCCAATGCAGTGAGTAATTTATTGTAGTATCGTGGTATGATACAATCAAGTGTTATGGAAAGGTAGGGTATATTTACCTCTTCGGATTAGCTGGATTTGTTTTGTCTCCCTTGTGATAAGGTGTAGCATATCTACCATATACAAGGGGATAACGTAAGAAATTTCCAAATACTTTTTTCACTCTGAAATATTAATACCAAGATTTTAAGCTACAATAATATTAATACTAAGATCTTACTACAATAATAATAACGTGCTAACCATTCGGACATCAAACCATAAAGAATGGGGAGGATTTGAATTGTTCTGGAATACTTTAGAATCGTGATTTAAACTACATGCGGGGATGTTTAATATATGAAAGCTATTTTATTACCGTTCTCTTTGATCGCCATCTTCGCCGCCCCAGCCAAAATATGAATTTGAGAAACCATTAGTCATGCTGAAATGTTTCTTGTGAAAAGCTGTAATACCACCAAAGTTTGCCTCGAACAGAAGTCTGAAATAAATATATGCTGAGATGTGAAAGGGTCGAGGTTATCACAATGTTGCTTAAAATTATATCCCGCGTATTTTAACATAACCAGTTTGAAGTTTACTGGGTGGAGGGCTGGAAGGCCGAAAGGTCTGTAATTGAGTCAACTGGCGTGGTTTCGAGTCCCCGGTTGTAAGGAGTTGGGTCGCCTGTCCAACCTCGTGGGTTTTCTCCGGGTCCTCCGGTTTCCTCCCACTGCTAAAGACCCCTAGGCACAAGCGAATTCTGCCACGGAAATTAATCATATTATTCACTTCTCAGCTTTGTAAAGAACATATTCGATATAATTTTATCCAGTCCTAAATCTTTATGGGCAAATAGTAGGGTTCGAATAGTCTAACGCGTGCGCTTTCGATCATAAGGTCTGTCATTGACACAACTGTCGAATTTCATTGGTTTTCTCAGGGTCCCAGGTTTTCCTTCACTACTAAAGATATCTCTCTCTCTCTCTCTCTCCCTCTCTCTCTCTCTCTCTCTCCCTCTCGATTATACCCAATCGGAGAATTTGTATCGCGCGTGAGAACTGGGAATAATAGAATCCAAATTTCTGGCCTTCAATAATTGCTACGAGCGCTTAATCTTAAATCTTGAACTGTGCACAGCAGTTGGTTAGTGTAATCATTCAAGGTGGAAAAGATATTGTCAATATACCTTGATAGAGCGAAGGTTACCCAGTGAGTATGATGCTAGCTTATTAACCAAGAGGTTCACGGTTCGATTCCGACGATGGTTATTTTAACAACTTGGTTTTCAGTTGTGCAGGACGTGAAGGAAATACGTTAAATAACCCCTGATCGTTGAAGTCATTGAATAGTATAGGCGGAAGGTTTTTCTTATGGTACATTACATGGTCCGACTGGGCTAATGAAGAAGGGCATACGCCATTTCATGCCATTTCATGTCATTTTCATTTCATTTCATTTCATTTCATTCATTCATTCATTCATTCATTCATTCATTCATTCATTTCATTTCATTCATTCATTTCATTCATTCTTTAATTCATTCATTTCATTCATTTCATTCATTTCATTCATTTCATTTCTAGATATGACTTTAGGAATTGGTTCAATAGAAACATACCGATATCCTTCATTCATTTCATTCATTTCATGCCATTTCATGCCATTTCATTTCATATATTTCTAGATATGACTTTAGGAATTGATTCAATAGAAACATACCGATATCCTGCTTTTTGAAGAGCCACCGCCATATGACGAGGTTTAGAATCACATCTATACAGGTTATAATCATGGACGGGATACAGGTCGACATCGTGGAAGATAAAACAGGTGTAATTGTCTATCTTTAGGGCTTCTAAATAACCAATATTCATTAATAACCCTCGGTTGAATATGGCAGGTGAATCCTGAAATATCCAATATACATTAACAACCTCCCGCTAAAATATAACTGATGAATATTTATTAATAACCACCCGCTAAAATATAACTGATGAATATTCATTAATAACCGCCGGTTGAATATATCAGGTGAATCCTGAAATATCCAATATTCATTAAAAAAAAATCTCCCGCTTAAATATAACTGATGAATATTCATTAATAATGCCAGGTTTCCACTGTCGTGCGATGCTTTACAATGGGATTTTCCCTATTGAGTCCATGGTCTGCTACACATATGTTTCGATGCGGTCAACACGATTGCTACGACTGACCTCAATATATGATAAGACTTGAAGGATCACCACGATTACTCCACGATTAAAGCCACGATTCCTAGCATTACCCTCGTTTAAATGTAGCTGACGAATCCTGAAATGGCCAATATTCAATTATAATCTCGGGAATCCTGAAATAAATAGAGAGAGAGAGAGATAGAGAGAGAGGTGGGGGGGGGCTAAAGTCCACTCGACAAAACCTTGGTCATTTCGTGACTAACAATTTTATTTCAATTATGGGTCTTTAGCAGTAGGAGGAAATCGGAGGGTCGCGAGGTTTGACAGGCGACCCTGCTCCTTGTCACGATCAACCTTATGATACAACGCGCACGTGCTAACCATTTGGCCACCCAACTCACCTTATCCATTTTATCATTTTAATTTATCAAATTTCAAGGATGATCCAATCCATGCATAATCCGATGTCCTAGGGTGATGATTGAAATGAAATGAAATGGGGTTTAACGTCCTGCTGTTCTGCTCCGAACGGGGCTAATGAAGACGGACATACGCCATATAGTGCGCTATAAGGGAAATTTAGCCGGACAGCCGCACCGTGGCCTACTCTTATATCGAATTCCAACTGTCAAGGGATCTTTTACGTGCACGCCAATGTGAACACGGGACCTCGGTTTTTCGTCCCATCCAAACGACTAGACAGCTATCCTTGTCAGGTCCTCCGTCTTACATCACTGACAAGGGGAACCACGCCGGAAAATCTGGATGAACTTTCTTGGCCAATGCAGGGATGGAACACCCGACCTCCAGGCTAGCGAGCCAACGTCTTACCCACTTAGCCACTGTGATCCCCGAGTGATGATTGAGGTTTTGTCATTATTATTATTATAAATGTCTAAATAACAGTTTATATGATGTCTGAAAAAGGGTCTACAATAGACAGATTTAGCGCTCACATCATCCATAACTAAAAATTAACGAGCGTGTCGTGTATTGCTTTGAGATCAGTATCGTATGGTGATCCAGACAATGCCCTACAGTGACAACTGATGTAAATCTACCATATCTAAGTTTTATACGATTATATAAAATAATGGGGGTTATGCGTCCTCTCAGTGGTCTAACGCATGCGCTGTAGATTATAAAGTTTGTCATAGAGTCAAGTGGCGTGGTTTCCATATTAAGATTGTGCGCTCGACTGGAACAGATTGGACTGGCTTTTGACCGTATCCCATTTTTATCGTCTGCAGAATGCCGAATTTCGGGACAGTATCAACTCAACATATATTTGTAAATATCGAACAAAATTGAACAATTTTGGACTGATCTGCAATGATAACCGCTTTTAGAGTTTCAACTTTTACAATGTTGTAGTTGACATCCGACAAATGAGGGAACACCTGTGGCTCAGTGATTAAGAAGCTGAGACGTCTCGGGCTTGATCCCGGTTTTAGTCGGGATTTTCCAGTGTGATCTGCCTTTGTCGGTGGTGCAGGATGGGATGGTCTAACAAAATCCGTGTCTAGTCCTTCGTATGGTAAAAAAACGAGGTCCTGTATGCACACCGGCGTCCACTTAAAAGAACCCTTGGCAGATATCAGAATATGTCCGAGCAAAATGTCCCTCATGCCACACTGTATGGCTTATGTTTGTCCTCATTAGTCCAACCGGTGCAGAAAATTGGACCCTAAGCAGCGAGCGTCTTACTCATTGAAGCAAATAAATAATAAATAAATAAAGATTAATATAAGAGATAATAAATAAATAAATAAATAAATAAATAAATAAAGTTATACTTACTTGTTCAATGACGTATATAGTAAACTCTATTTGTTGACGTATTAACATCGGTGGTACGTTCGATAAAAAATCCATGAGATTTCGCCACCTATCCCTGTAGGGTATTATTACAGCTACTTTCTGTCGGGCTTTACACGTGGTTGGTTTAAACATGCCTCCAGGTCCAGGCTTATACGGTAAATACCTAATATCCAATTCACTTACATTTCCTCTAAATTTATTATATAGAAAATCACCAACTGCAAAGTATATTGACAAATGGAATGGAGTTAAACGCCTGACTATTCTGCGCCGATTGGGCCCAGAGATGGATTAACCATTCAGCAAAATAAACACGTTCTGCTTTGATAGATGCCAAATTTAAAATATCTAATTTACAACATTTTAATTTTACAAATATTACGTAATTATCATGATGATTGGTTACTATAGGAATAGTAATGGATGCAATAGGAATTTTCCAACACAAGTGATAAAACATATTCTGTTGTTCACATAGATCCAGGTATGTTTTTGGTTTTATGTGTCAATCCATCATTCATTTATTTAAGTGTATTAGATATGAATAGATATGAAATTAAATGAAATGGGGTTTAACGTCCCACTGTTCTGCTCCGAACTGGGTTAATGAAGACGGACATACGCATACAGTGTGCTATGAGGGAAATTTTTCCCGGACAGTGGCACTGGGGTTTACCGCCCATTCGACACAAAGTAGGTCATTTCGAGACTAACATATGGTTTAATTTTATTTCAACGATTCACTTTCGCGTAGGAATCTTTATCATTAGGAGGAAACCGGAGGACCCGTAGAAATTATTTGTCAATTTAAATCAACATTGATGTTGTGATCTTCACCTCCAAATACTATGTCTGAGATAGAGAAACAAACGGTATCTCAAAAAGGCAAAGGCCAAAAATAGGGATATTGCGACTTGATGATCGGGATTCCTTTACTTTCCGCGTATTTTTTATTCTGCTGTAAAAATTGTCATCACTAGCCCATCGGTGCAGACAAATACGACGTTAAGCCCTATTTCATTTCATTTCGTTTGACAAAAAGTAAAGGTTTAACTGATATCGAAACATGAGGTTATGTGAGCTTAACATTTTTATTACAAGTTTCCAATGACTGCAAAATAAAATAGTTATTTGAAACACCAGTCTTTGATTTCAGATGAATATTAACAATTATACACAATAGCTGCTGTTTTTAGCTGATCATAAATCAGTGGTTATTTGATGTCATCCGATCATCTTTTTCATTTACTGAAATGTAACCTGCTGTTCTGTTTTAGTAATATCACACTTACTGACAATGAAATGGAGTTTAACGTCCAATCGATACAAACCAGGCCATCTCGGTAGCAATATTGCGTTATGTATTATAAATATCAAAATTTGAAAATAGAAACGCCACTAAATATTATGTTATATCGAAAGAAAAAACAAATGAGGACATTTTTGAGGTTTTGAAAAAAATCATGTTTTATACGTTACTCGTGATTCCTGAGAAATAATGGAATAACATGAATATCACACCGAAGATCCTTTTTAACCAACAGAACAGTAGGACGTTAAACCCCATTTCATTTAATTTCTTTTAAGCCAATTAATAAATAATTTAATGCGTGTACCGGTAAATATATTGGTAACCCCACAATCTGGTGTTAATACCTTTATGAATCAAATTAAAGATACTTAAAGGAGCTAAATCGCTAACATTTGGGACCTAGAAATTGACAAAAGTGGGTCGCAACGCATATAATACTGTAATATGAATGTATATAAACTGATTTACATTGAATGGTTTCCGTTTTTACTTCCATTTCAAATCAGTTATGTTTGGCGAAATAAGCCAGCAGTCTCAAGCGAGTGCAAATTTCTAGCGTCTGGTTATTCCAGTCTAAATACGCCGTTTGAATGTGTCTAGCCTCGTCCCTCGAGTCTCTTGATACAACTGGGGCTGAAGCGCAATATGGTACACGATTCGTTACCAATGGTAATATGTTTATTTTGTCTTAAATATTGGATATCAAAAGCCCATCTTTTTCCGGTAAGATCACAACATGAATGTTGATTTAATTTGACAAATAAATCGTGTTTTCAATGTTGAAGATTTGGATGATATTGAGTTAGAGACTTAGCTACTTTAAGATTTGCCTTTCTTCCCAAAGTTATTGAGGGTGGCTTGAGTGTGTGAGTGTATGTAGTTTGAAGATAGAGGCGCCTTCTCAACCTCTTGGATTTACTCCGGGTACACCACAGGAAAGACACGTGCGCGAAAAGTAATAAAATAAGACCCCTTGTCTGCGATAAGTCCTTTTGTGATGTTGTAGTTCCCAGAATATGGGCGCGGGGGGGGGGGGGGGTCTGGACACATCCTTTATTTGTTTACGACAAGACACCCAGCGACAGACTTCACACGGTGCCATTTTTGGAGATAAATACATTGTTGTGACTTCAATTGTAACTCGAATAAAATCATGCATCCAAAAACCAATTTATGTCTGGGTTCTTAGATTACCCCTTGTTTCCGACAATGTTTTTCGAGCGACGTGTCCGCACAAGGGTTAAAAACCCAGACTACAGAGTGATGAAGTGTAAGCCATGTCCACACCCTAAACAATAATTGAGAAGTGGTACACAACATGAAACCCGTTGCATTATTGACCGATAGTTTGCGCCATCGGCTGTATTACCATTCACACTCAACTCCGTTTTTATAGAAACTTAAAGATATGTTATGGACGATTCGATAACGAGTTGGCAGTTTTCACTATAATAGTTAAAAACTAGATAATGTAAAGGCTATTTGCTGAAAATTTCATTCAAATTGATCCACTATGAACCGAGAACTAAGCGATTAAAATTTCCGCCTAGCCTCGATCATCATTACTAAATTCAGTACGATAAACAACATACTCTCGATTATCCATTTAATCGGTATGCTGTAAATCGGCTCATAATCCACTAAAGATCACAGGCTAGCAATGCCATCTAGAGTTAAATATGGTCTGGATAGGTTAATTAATGTCTAATTAATAATTTAGATAACATTTCAGGCCTAAAGAAAGACCTGCAATAGACAGATTTAGCTCTTGCATAATGTATGTTTAACAGCTTACCTAAATTGGGCGGGGTTCTTGGGCATTCCACCAGAGTCTTATTTTTGGCTGGCATCTTTCGGTTGGGTTTTGGGGAAACAAATGGAGATGCGGTTGGAGTAGTTATAACCACCGTTTTTACAGGTACTGGTTTAAAACCAATATTTCCATTAAGATATATGAAGTAAAGTACGATACTACATACAACAAATATTAATGTAAGGGATTTTTGGATTTTCCCTGCTAGCATCTGTAAGTAAATAAAATGTTGTTTAAATATGTATATTCATGACCACATGTACTCTGTTTTATCATTGAATGTAGTGAATTTAAATTACTGTGTTTAAAATAAACAATCTGAATAAAACACAGATCCTATTTCGTTTCATTTTTTATAGTTCAAAATTTCGTTTTACTTGTCTTTGCTACACTAGGATCTGGAAGAGATGTTAAATAACCAGTGCTCTGGATTATGTGAGGGATTAGCCAATGAAACGGTCTGTTACTGTGAGTTTTTGGTGTGAGGTGCACGGAACTGTCGGGTAACCCACTAGAAACATCAACGCTGATTGATTAATCAAATGTCTGACGTCAGAGGGTGAAAAGCCGCTCGTATGTCCTCTGAAGCGACCTTCCACTACAACTTGTCAGATCTTCATGTAGTGTAGGCCATCGAAAGTATTTAAAAAACGAAAAGAAATACAGATCTATATTTTAATCAGACTGTAACGTATCAACACCTGTCTACCTCCAGGAACTTGTTCACGAACATTTATAAGATAATAATATATCATTATTTTATTATAATCCACCCCACCCCACCCCCACCCCGACCCCCACCCTTTACTACACTTATATATATATATGTTTTTGGGAACACTATGTATAACGTTTATATATATATATATATATATATATATATATATATATATATGCCAACATTCGTGTATTTTAAATCTAGTTTATTTACCTAATTATTTCTCCTGTAAGATACAGGATTAAGTCGCTGGCCCGCTAGCATGGCGGTGGCGTATTCGACGACTGCGTTGGCCGAGAAAATTCATCGGGATTTTCCAACATGGTTTCACATTGTCATTGGTGCAGAACGGTGGGCCTGACTAGTCGTTCGGATGGGATGTAAAGACCGAGACCCCGTGTACACATTGGCGTGCATGTAAAAGATGGCAGTTGGAATTTGATATAAAAGTAGGTCATAGTGGCGCTCCTCGTGCAAAATTTCACTCATGCAAATTTTTCCCTCATAGCACACTGCATGGCGTATGCCCAGTTCGGAGCAGAACAGTAGGACGTTAAACCCCATTTCACTTCATTTTTCATTTCCATTTCATTTCTTTTCAGTTCATTTCCAAATGCATTAAATATAGAAAACAGTTATTTATTTACCAAAATCAATAAAACAGTTAACGTCTGCGGGCAATTTAAACTCTTAACTAGAAACGTTCTTGTTTCAAAACCCAGGGCCTATTTCACGAAATTTTAGCTAAGATAAAATCCAAATTTTATAGTATAACGAGCTTGCTGTATTAACGCACTTTATAAATAACGATATTATTATTATTTTAGATTTTAGAACTTACCTTCTCTCCGACTAACACCTGTAATAACGAGCTTGCTGTATTAACGCACTTTATAAATAACGATATTATTATTATTTTAGATTTTAGAACTTACCTTCTCTCCGACTAACACCTGTAATAATGAGCTTGCTGTAAGGTATGTTGACGTGTATTACGGATTACCTGTGTGTTTAAATCCTTTATCTACTAATGATGACCCTCGGGGTAATTCTCTATAACACTGTTTTATCAAAAACATTCGATAACTTTTATACCTTGTGGATATAATCGATCTGTTTACGCTCCGCCCCGTTACACGAGACTAGTTCTAGAAAATGTAAACGTAGTAGCAACTGTTTACGATATTTTAACAACTTCATGGATGGACTCGGACCGGCTTGGACGGTAAGGGTGTCCTAGAACGTTGAGCCCTTTCAAAAATTGTCCTAGTCCTTCAATTAAACAGAGT